TCACTGACTGACTAGAATTCTCTTCCTCGGTAAGGTTACGATTCAGTTTCTACACCAGCTTCGTTCTCATTAAACAAAGCTAGGTTCAAATTTGGAAAGGCAAAGTCAACATCCCAGTCCTCAGGGTTTACATACATATTTCGAAGTTTATTCGGTGGAAACTAAGAGCACTTTAAGTATTCACTCGTTAATGTGACGCTGGAGTCTTTTGAAAACTGGACATTACTGTGTCTGGCTCGAACTCGCTTCTATCTTTCTTCCGTTGGTCTTTGAAAAAACACTGTAAATTGCAAAGAAGCTTGTCAAGATGATCGGGTGCAGGTATGTTTGTTATCATATTTGTTTAAGGAATTACTCATTTTCTCTTAGGCAAAGCATCTCGAATCTCTGCCAGTCGATTTTCGTCTTCTTAACTGTGTACTACGATAAAATTTTCAAACACTGACTAGAATCCTCTTCGATAAGATTAGGAGTTAGTTTCTTCATCGCCTTCGTTCACAAATAAACACAGTTTAAAATGTTGAAGGCCAAAGTCATGATCCAAGTCCTCAAGGCTGACAGGCGTCTTATAACTTTATTTAAACTTTTTTTCCGCGGAAAAGAGATTTAGAGCTCCGAAATGAGCATTTTCTTTAAAAATTTTGGTCCGTATAGCAAGTTACGGACCGCAAATTGACCAATCACATGGCGAAAACAGACTCAGCAATATAATAAGAAGAATTATGCAGATTGAGGAGAGTGTTATCCACAGAGGCCGAAGGCCGAGGTGGATAACACCCTCCGAGATCTGCTTAATTCTTCATATCCTACGAAAGCCGAATTCATTAATTGCTTTATTATTCATTCAAAATAATTCCTAGTTTAAAAACATAGCTAAAACATGCTTACCTGCATCGATGTTAAGTTTATCTTCGATAGTGTACGTTTAGGTTTGTCCAGCTCCCCAAATATTCTCCAAATAGCAGATGTCGCCCTCCGTGTTGTCTTCTTGGTGTTTTTGCTATGTTTTTAGCCATTATTTCGCCTAGTTCCAGCTGTAGTTCTTACTCTTGAAACGAGTGAAGTGTCCGCCATTTTAGTTTTCACAACGAAAACAACTCAACCTCGTCCCCAGGTCTTCTCGGTTAACGGCGCATTAACCTGTAGAAGGCTGCATTTTTGACGTCATTTCCTCGTTAAACACAAAATTCTTCCATATTCGGTGATCAGTAACTGGTTATGGTGAATTATGCGTGTGCTTTTAGCCAATCATAATTGTGGAAATATTTTGAATGAGTAATAAATATTATTACTAATAGATCATAACAAGGTACAAAACAAAGAAGAGTTTTATGCATGTGCAATGTGTAAACCGTCTCATGGGCACTAACAAATATGCTTGAAACTGAAGGTGATTTGTAATGGCTTGTGTTACAAATTGAGGATATATTTTCCCTGAGAGTTAAGCACGTATTATTAGAAAAGGTCCACTTTAGCGGTACAGGTTGTGGTCGCCAACATGAGCCGAGTGAAATAACTAGTTGAAATAACTAGTACAATAATACGCACTATTATGCACCAGCTATTTTGCACTAGTTAGTATCTTTTTCACGGGTCAAGTAAAATCACTCTAAAACACATCAATAATTAAACTCTTGAATATTACTTCTTGCTTTCACAGCAAAGCCCAATGACACACGTTGGTTCCCCTCGGATGGACACCAACATGGCCTCTCCGTACAAAACTCTATAAATTTGGGTAAAAAGTTCCTCCAAATATCTATCTCGCTCATAAAGCTTACCTGCCGCATTAGCCTCACCCGCAGACATTCTTAGGGGTGCTACCACCGCATAGACCTGAATCTTGGCCAGACTGTATTGAATAAAATTATGTGATCTTCTTGTTTTCTCTCAGATTCCTGAGTATTACCTTGGAGAATTACCTGAGGTTTTTAATAACCAAGACACCCTCGTCCCCGGGGCGCTTTTCCTGGCTTTGGAGGTGGAGCCCCCAACCTCAAAAGCCGGGGAAAAGCGCCCTGGGGACTAGGTTGTAACCAAGAGTTTCTTTAGAAAATCATTCTTAAGATGTCAGTGTTAGAGCTTTTTGTAATAATAATATAAACATCACAAAGTTTTAAATTCATCTCTTTGGTCTCTCTTTGATGCCATACGCGTACGTATTATGAAAATGAAAGGAGGTGGTTAGATAAAAGTTCCAGAATAATTGTTTTTTTGACAAAAAAGGTCACGTAGTTCTCTTTTGAATCGAATAGTTTCTGAGCAACGTACTTGCTTTTATGTAAAAGGCCTAGTCGTATTCCTACACCATTAGTTGCCATTGTTTGGATCTATATTTTCTACGCCCGGCGTAGAAAAACACCCATTTTCAATTCCTGTTCACTACTAAGAGGAGTGGTGCGGTGTCAATACTAAGTCTTTAATCATGGGAGATAATAATAGTAATAATAAGGGCGCTAAAACTATATACATATTCTAAAGCGCTGATAAAAACTGCCAGACATTACTCACATGACAGACAGAACTCCACAATCACTGTGCACAAATTGGTTCACTGGGCCTGCTTGAAACCTTGAACACTCCGGATACTCCTGATAACTAAGGGGAGAGTGTTCCACAGTGAGAGGCCAACACGTGCGAAGATTAATCATTAAAATTAATCATTAATAAGAAAAGCAACCGAAATGGAGTTACGTCGAATTTCCGAGCCTTAAAATTTCCAAAAAGCATTTCATGATATAACATGTTGTATTTTATTTGGTTGTACTTTATTTACAGAACTTCGCAGTCGGGATAAGCGTGCACTACCACAAGTCTTCAGATTATTTCTAATACCCAAAAAATACTTGCCAAATTTTCCTACCCAAAAAAATCCTGGAATCGAAAGTTTCATCCCCTTCACTTGAAATCCGGAGTACCTCCCCCAGGGAATAATGACAGGCATAGATCAAGCAAAAGTGTCTTTTTTTTTCGTTTTTAGTCGAATGCAGCCCATGAGTTACGATAAAAGTTAAAGTGTTTAGTTCGGGTAACACTGGTGATATTTGCAGAACTGGTTTCATTTTCCTGCGGTTTTATTACAGTAATTCGACAAGAGAGAATTCCAGGAGTCGTTTGATATATTATATATGATATTGTAGCGCGAGCGAAGAATTAGGGTTAGGATTAGAATTAGGGTTAGTCTGTCGGTATCAGGTGTTTTTGGAAGAGAGGGTAAAGAGAGAAGATTAAACGGAGAGACGGTCGAGCTGCAATCTCGAGAAGAAACGCCCTATGCTCTCTTTTCATGCCTCCCCTGTCAGCCCTCTAAAATCTCCTTTCCTCTAACCCCTAAGGAAAGCCTGATACTCAGGCTATCTTCCCAGGTAACTTAGCTTTCAGGTTCTAACCATGCGTTTTTCAATTGTCTTGTAAGTTTATTTCGCCTCTTAAAAACTTTTATTGCAATGCTGAAGACAATTCTTTCCTTTGTCTACATATTTTTTTGATCCATGTATGTGCAAGTGTGTGACGTTTAGACAATACAGAACTACTTAGCATCCTTACACAAAAGCTGCAGTTGCCTTTAAACTATTGGGACAAAAAAATTAGAGCGGAGCCCCATATCTCCGAAAATTTTGTAATCTATCTATCCGAGAAATTGTGTTAATCACGTGACCGTACGCCCGTCCGTCCGCCCTCGCGCACCACTGGGTAACGAATGTGAAATGTCAAATTTTCTGGCTAGTGTGAAAGCCTGTAGCCTGTGTTTAACCTGTTATCCGCTGACCAATGTCACATAACCGTATCGCTGGCTCACCTGCTAACTCATCGAGGTGACGTGTTTTTTTCCGCCGATCAGTTGTTAGCTGTTAATTGATAGCGGGCTTAAGTTTATGTTTTTTAGTCATATGGTTTTCCCCTAAAGTAAAGTATAGATTTGTGGATTTCTTTGCAATGGTTTAAAGTCCATTGTCTGCAGTAAATTTAAAATGCATAATCGGGAGCTTCGCTTTTAGCTCAGGCTAAATCTATATATATTAGTAACAAAAGTATCCTGCTGACAAACTTGGAACGAGATTATAGAAGTTGAATGATTCATTATCATTCAGTTTTAATTTTCAAATTCTTAAGTCTTTCTTTGACGCCAAAAAAAAAATTACAAATGAAATGGCTAATAACTAATAAAACTACTCTCCTGATCTATTGCAGTGTACACTGGAACCCCGCCTTATGTTCACCTCGGTAATATGGCCACCTCGTTATTACGGCCATTTTTTTTTTGCCCATTCGTGTCTGCATTAACGGGTTTCCACTGTATATGAAAAGTTCATAAGCCACCTTCGCACGTTTTTCACGTTTTATTTTAAAGATGCATGGGGTTTACATGTTGGATTTTAGAGTCCAGATATAAGGAATCAACGGTTGTAACCAAAACTTTATATTGCTGAATAAATCGCTTTGAAACAAGTTTTTGTAACACTGTTGGAAAACGGTACAAATTACTTAAGCATAGGTCACAGAGACATTTAGCATCTTTTAAATTCTCAGGATTGCCAATATCCCATGTAAGAGCAGCTAACTGATATGACCAGGCTCTGAGGATACAAAAATGAGCAAACAAACAGACGAACATTTCCTAGACATAAATGGTCTAGAAATATTATACGAAAAAAATTAATTTTTCCCTCTTCTAAGGTTTCAAGTTTTTTTCTCTGTTTTAGCCTCAGAATTTGTAATAAGCGTTTGGGTTAGTTGTTTCGTTGAACAGTTCCTGTCGCCTTTTGTCTCCTTGGTGGCAATTACAAACGACAAAAAAAAAGCTATACTTTAATAATTATATAATTATATGTGTTTTTGAAGGCTATATTCCACTCATAGTTTGTCAGACTTCTTTGAGCCACATATAGCAAAAAACAAAAATAAAAACGGTACGCCACATGTATGTATGCATACTTGGTTTACATAATGACAAGTGTCCAAAACAGATTATCATTGTAAGCCAGCTTTTAATGTCAACACCAGCAGTGAAAAGCTAATGCTTTATTAGCTGTTGCCTTTTGTATTCACGCATTACTGTTGAGAATTTCGAATTCTTAATCTCATTTCCAGGCCCCTTGTAAATTTTTGTATATATAGTCTCGTCGTTATCTTCAACGGTCACTTTAGATCACTTTTGAAAATGTTTGTTGAATAGCACAAGAAACGTCAAGTTTATCAAAAATGCCAAAGCTCACAATGTTTATCATCGCTCTTTGTGTTTTATTCTTGATCAAACTACGATGGCCCAAGAACAAAAGTCGCTATAGTGCCCAGCACTTTATTTCTATAATGCTCAGTATTGAATCCTTACTAAGACATAAAATTAGTCTGCATATTTTTGCGGTGAACGTAAAGACATGGCGACCGATGTCAAGGGCATAAAGGTCATGCAAGGTGTTATTTAGATCCTCGTTTTAAGCCAAGTGTGTTTGCGTGTGACGCGTCTAGACAGCCTTGACACCGACAATAAAGAACTTTTTTGTACAAAAGCATCCATATGATAATAAAATAAAGGAAAAACCCTTCAAAGAACCAGCATTGACTTATTTCTGTCATATAATACGGCAATTTCGTAACTACATATTTTATAAATAAAATTTCCTCGTTTACTAAGTTTGCAAAAATTTATCTGACCTCGGAAAGAACAAAAAAAAAATGTACTGTGTACACTCTACAGTATCCTTTCTTTTTTGTTGTTGGTGTTTTACGTTGTTTGTTTTTCTCACTGTTACATTTCATAATCTTTCAATCCAATGGTCAAGTACCATAATGGCATAAACAACACGGGCCTAATAGTTTGTGGTCAATTACGGATGCTTTTTGTTTTATTGTTTTTTGAGATTAGCTATCGCGTCTTTAAATTTCTCCTGCTGTGTCGTCCTTCCTTGTTTATGTTTGTAATGTAATGTAATTTTGTTAGGGGTGGTAGGGTCACCACGCCAGTGATTTTGGCGTTCAAGTAGCACCCATCCTGAGGCACTTTAGATTGTGATGTAGAGTTTGGTGTGCTGGTTCTTGTGTTCTTGTGTCTGCAGCGTTCTGTGTCGTAAATGGGGGGCCCAACATTTCAACCCTCTGGTGCTCCCCATCCTCGAAACAACGAACGAACGTATAAAAAATAAAATAAAATAAAATAAAATAAATATAGTTCTCTCTTCTGAAAATTTCATTCTTTTATTCTAAGAGAACGTTAAAGGCCTTCAAGTTACTAGTTTTGTTAAACCTTTTCTCCCGTGGTTTGTCCCCTTGGCGGCAAATGTGAAGGAAGATAACCCCCATATTTTAAGAGGGTGACACCAATTACTATGAAAAGTAATCCCCTTAGTGGCCCTCTAAAAACAAAATTAATAATGAAAAATTACAACAATCATGAAAAAAAAAGCCGTACAAATAGTGATGATAATAAAAGATCTTCAAAGTTCTAGCGATTTAAAAAATTGAGAGATGTCAAAAACGAATGTGAATAAATTGGTAAAAAAGAGAATCAAGTTACGATGATATTTAAAACCACGGAAATTTCAAAAATCAGAATAACTTTTTAACTTGAAAATTGTCCACCGTATAGTTTGAGACGGCGTTATAAAAAATAGCTGACTATATATTTCAATACATAGTTTTAAAAATTTTTGTCGAATTAAGCACATGAGCTGGAGTGTAAGATAAAATAATTTTCAGTTTAGTTATTATTGATGATATTTGTAAAACTCGCTACATTATTATTCTGATTCTATTCATTCTTACCTAAGACAATACTGTATTAGTCTACAAGTCTTATCAATTCCTACTAAATTTTTTTAAAAGTATGTATTGTTATTATTATATGTATTGTACTATTTTATTCTTTGTTGTCTGAAAAATATGGAAATGTAATAAGTTGCTCAATATAAAGGTATTGGCTTCATCACACGTAACTACTGAACTATTACTCTCTTCAGAGTTAGTAGGTCCTGATTGTGACTTCTACAGGTAAGCCATTATACAACATTGTCAAGTTACAGCTTTTTAATACTGAACTCGGGTCTAGTTGACTTTAAAATATTGAGACACGAAATTATAATAATAAAAACATCCTGCAGATAGAGTTAGAAAGAGCAAAAAGATCTGCAGCATGGAGTTAAAATTATTGGTTTATTAATCCATCCATCAAAACCTTTTAGCCACCTTCGCACGTTTTACTTTTAATTTGGCTTTACAAAGAGAGCTTATATTTTAAGTTAAAAGAATTTCCGTGAAAACAATACAACGATAATGTTGGCTACCCTTTTCTTTCCTTTTTTTTAAATTTACGACATATCTTTTTAAAGGGGCTATTCAGGCCATTTACTACATCTTCTGAAAAAGCTCAAAGTCTCTTCGCATCAATTATATATATTTTTCAAAAAAAGTGTGGTCCAGATTTGTTTTTTAAGATTATATTTAGGCATTGAAACTGTTTCCTGTCGTCTGTTACAACGGATGGCGAGGACGGATTGGGCGAAGGCTTTCAAATTTTAATGCATTACCTACAAAAAATAAGAATTATTATGTTTTATGTCCCTGATGAAGTTTGTTCGAAATTTTCTTCATAACTCTACAGGGGCATTTTGTGCGTGGCACACTGGTTACCCGGCGAAATGACGTCTGAGAAACGAAGAAATTCCATACTGATGACACGTCATTACCCAGATGAGGGTAGTGCTTCTGATTGGCTGAAGCAAATTTCCCTCGCAGCACGACCAATCAGAGGCACTACCCAGATCTGGGTGGTGACGCGTCATCAGTGTGCAGCTTGTTTCTCAGACGTCATTTCGGGGGAAATATCGACTGTTTTCTCAGGCCAATTAAAATCTTGAAGATCATCGTAGACTATACCATCGTTACGTTAGTCTTTGTAACGTCAATAATTGTATATTGAGTGTATATCATCAAGGTGACTATTTAACCTTTAATTATACTAGCTCCCTTTTAGCAAATTGTGACATCACGGGTCTTTCTTTCTCAGTAGAAAGAAGCATTCAGGATGAACTCGATTTTTTACTTTGGCCTGTGCACACTTTTTGTGCAACTGTCTCTGGCCACAGGTGAGATACACTCTTGAGTGTGATAGCTAAAAGGGAAATAAAAAATATATATATATATAGGTTAACTAGAAATAAAGTTAATTAGTATATACACACTCAATGATCTTGGTGTTTTAAGCAATCTGATTGGTTCGCTAACCTGCACTATTCAACATTAGTAAAATCCAACTAGTTTTCTATTATCAATTCTGCGTTCAAATTGGTTGAGCTACTACTAGGCTATATGTTATAGCCCACTAGTAGCGAAAAGCGCTGGCTTTTTGGCGGCAAAAAAGGATTAAAATCTAGCTTTAACTAGCTATAATTTTTTTATTCTCGATATTTTTGACCAACTAGTTGGATTTTACTAAAACAGTTATTCCTCTCGCCCTCATGGCCTCTGACTCAACAGCATCAACAGCCTTCGGCCTCATGGGCTATTGACTCAGAGCCCATCCGAGCTCGAGGAATAATTGTTAAATACTCACCTCCTAGCGAGTGGATAATGTGTGAACTCGGTGTTTTTCCCATTTTTTTAGAGAACGATCTTTTAAAAGTCGACAAAATCCAACAGTTGCCTTTTTTAAGGAAAGAAAAGACTTCGAAGGATTCAAAACGACGTTTTTCCATTTGCTGTAGGCGAGTTTTGTGCTCGATGGATTGTTTACAACTCTCGTTTATTCGCGTAGAAGAGGCTGTTTCGTGAACTCAGCGTTTCCTAACAAGTAAAATTTGGCCCCAGAATGGAAGTTTATTTTTGACAAACAAATTTGAAAGCAAATGTTTGCAGAAATTCTACGTTACAAGTAAAAAGGAAAATGAATGCTACAGGAAGACGACGTCTTACGTCGAGCAACCGAGCCGCCATTTTTGTCGGCACTTCATGCGAAGAACGACACAACAAAGCTTTTGGGCCATAAACTTGGCGAGTGAACAGAAAACAACAAGGCTCTACTTTTTTTCTCAGCTAAGGAAACAATTCAACCTTTTAACGGTTCCATCTAAGCCATAAAGCTGTCGTTTGCGAAGTGATAAACTTGTGAATTGCCACGTTTGAAAATTCTGCAAAGATCTAATTTTAAACTTTCGAGTGATTTGATCCGTCAATCAAATCGTACTTTTTAATGGTTTCCTCTCTGATTTTTCTGAGGTCACTTCGTGTGTATATACTAAAACAAAGTTTCTTTTCAATCTCGGTGAATAGGGGCTTTGGGAATATTTACCTTGCCACTTCGGGGCTCGGTGAAATATATATTGCCACTATTCACCTCGATTTCAAAGAATAATTGTTGAATAGACTTCAGAGCATTATTCAAGAAACCTTGCTTTTATACTGCTGATGGTGGGTCGGAAGGCCAAGAAAGTCTCGCACTAGGAGGCGACTCGTGCTCGCTCTTAATTTATTCGTCGACTAACTATAAAATGGAATAATCCAGCACTGTTCCTGTTAATACCCATACGACTGGGACGCTACATAAATGTAAATACTGTTTCTAAGCCAAACTCTGTTGATTCCTGCAAAAACAACAACCACAAATGACAACAAAAACTTCGTGACCTTTTTTTCCGCGTATTGCAACTTAACAAAAAAAAGCTTTCCAATTCAACTTCATCTCTGTTTACATCTAATACTTTTGAAATAGGTGAAGTGGTTTCAATTCTTCTAAGGACAAAAGCAGACTAACTTGTTTGGCGCGCAGAGCCTCTCCCCGCAAGCAGGTTACAATACCACCTGTATGTGATACCTCTTCTAAGCCAAACCCTCTCCCTCGCAAGTGGGTTAGAACTGCTTTATAGAATCATTTCCTGTAGCGACTAGTTTGTAATTCTAAACTTTTCCCACCATCAAAAGGGAATAATGGGACAGAAAGGAAAAAACCCAGTCTTGCGAGAGGATTTTGCTCTCTTGCTATCGTCATGAACAGTGTGAGTTATTGATTAAGGGCTATTTATATTTTATTTTTATTTTATATATATAAAAAAGAAAGAAAATATATTTTAATGAAGAACCCTCTAGACAATCTCTTTAGGAAGTTATATCAGAGTACTACATGTATTTTAATGACAATTTATTATGAGTATTATTTGCTATTGCATTCATATCAAATGCTCGAAAACCCTATTAAGACTGGTAGGAGGGGCGTTTGAGGATCCCCTCGCTTTAAAGTATATTTACTTCAAAACCTTTCAAGCTATGACTGCTAAAGTAAGCGATTTTTTCTAAAATTGATTTGAGCACATTTTGAGAGTGAATTTCGAAAAAAAAAAAAATCAAAGAACCAGAAACGATTCGCGGCCGCGGTCAAAGAATCGATTCCGCTCATATTTTGGCCACGGCAAGGATTAAATGTAATCACTTCAATCAGGAGCCTATTCCTGCTCCAGTGGTATGGGACTAGTTTTTCGAACTACGCTTTCCTTTTGAAATAAATGGTTATAAATAATTTCACACTTTTTTGGCTATGCGTGAAATACGTGAAATAATGAGGGTGAGGGACTAGAAAAACTCAAAGAAATTACACAGAACAAGTATTTTTCTCACTACTCGTGTGTAATTGATAATCAGTATGTTAAAGTTAGCAATGCGAGAACCCTTCTTCCAACAAGGAAATACCCATCAACCATTCATGGGCTGTGAAGATACTGGTGTTGACATAAACACGATTACAGGAAAACAGGCTCATCACCACCAACCCAACAGAACGACCAAGAGAGATAAGGCACCGAAAGAATCATCTTTGCAACATTGTATTGAAACCCTCAACTAAGCATCACCGTTGTGTATGCACCTACTGAATGTTCATCTTCTTCAGGACAGGAGGAATTATATATATCCCTCAAAGAACATCTTGACCAAGCAAAGAAACATGAGATCGATTTCATTCTGGGGGATTTTAATGCTAGAGTTGGCATGCATAGCCAAGTGTATCCCCCTGTGATTGTTGATAAGTACCGTTACTATGACACAAGAAATATAAATGGTGAACGCCTCATTAACTTGTGCTAGGAGTGCAACCTTCGATTTGTCCAGCAAAGATTTTCTCAGCCTTATCGTTAGCAGTGGACCTGGGTGCACCTGGTTGGATCTAAACATCAGTTGGATCAGATACTGATCAACAGCAAGAGGATTAACTCTCTCCGGAACTGCCGCGCTTACAACGCAGTTGAACTGGACTATGACCACCGCATTATTAGCATCCTCCTTCTAGTCACTAACTTGCGAACAGGCAAGGGAAAGCCATTCAAGTGATCAAAATGTAACTAGAGGAAGCTGCAAGACGAAAGGACTAGAGTGGAATTTCAGTTAGAGCTGTCCAATTCGATTCAAAGCACTGTAATGGATCTGTAGTCCTCTGAAACAACCGTAAGGGAAATCAATGAAAAAAGTAGTCGGCAAAGGAGAGGCATATGGGCTACCAAGTTGGGTATCTGACAAGACAATCCACCTGAAGAAGAGGCGAGATTAGGACCAAGAAGTAATTTGCACTATCCAAGATACCACAATCAAAAGACATATGGAGAAAATTAAATGCAAGTCTCATTGATTCCTACAGAAGCTGCCCCTTTCAGTAGTCAGATAGAAGACTTGAAATTAGTTGATGAGACTGGGTAAACACGGCCACTTGGGGCATTATCCATAAACTTAAAGGGGAGAACACCAAGCAAAATTCACCTGTAATTCACATTCGGGTGCTAGTTTGTGATTTGTAATAAACCTTTACTATTATTATTATTATATTATTATTATTATTACTATTCTTCTCTTTATAAAATGTAAAATCAACTAGCGAAATGGCTCAGCTGCCTCTAATGAACAAAAGCTACTAGACGAGTGGAAGAGCTACTTCGGCTCATTGCTCAACAATGACGACTGGGATCGGAGCTACCCCTCCAGCAGCAGAAGACCTTCCGAAAAATATTGATCCCCCAACTCGAGAGGAAACTGCTGAAGCAATTGCAGCAATGAAAACAAACAACTAAAGCAACAGTTTTGGACTGTGCCATTACTGCTGAGGCACTTCAAGGCGGTGGTGATGAAATGCTTGATGCCATTCATGCATTTTGTTTTGAAGTTTATACCTCATTATCTCCACCACATTAGTGGATTACCTATGTTCTCATTCTGTTACCCAAGAAAGGTGACATCTCGCTGATGACAAAAATATACTGTAGCGGCATTTCCCTCATGTCCATTGCTGCAAAGGTGTACAATAAGATCTTGTTAAGTACATGTAGAATTCGACGGTAGAATTTGCAATGTATGTTCCTACTCATGGGTGGAGAAAACCCGGAACACGGCGATCGTTGTTCACCGATTATATTTATTGTCTTCTGGGGAATCCTGATAGCCTGTAGAATGACAATCAACTATTAAAAATGGCTCAAGACCGCCATCGATGGAGGTTGTGGTTGAATGCTCTGCAGCCGAAGGATGATGATGATGATGATGATGATGTTGATAAAAGTTAGCCTACCAATTTTTGGCAGTTATTTTCTACAATCGTCAAAATAACGCCCGCGCGGCGTACATATCGTATCGGCTTTCAGTATATGAAAATTTTCTACTCACTCTTAGAGTAGCCCGTGTCAGAAGCCCATCCTGCCCGTGTACAGAAACTGCGTTTTCAGTATAGTAGTCTACTCACTAACACATTCTCTGAATTATATCACTTTTCCACCATTTTAAAGTCTGGCTCAGAGAAATGTCGCAGCGATGATTGCTGTCCACTTCCAATTCCATGCCACAACGTGGCTAGCAGGTGGCTTATTGTTAATGATCCTTTGAACTCGACCAACGATCTGTTTTACTTCTCAATGTCTAGAATGTCAGGATGCTCTGGGCATGCAAAACGGTGCCATCTCAAGTGGACAAATTAGTGCTTCTTCGGAGTGGGATGCCAATCATGCTGCCATTCAGGCAAGACTCCACTTTAAAGCAGTTCCCGGCAAAGCAGGATCATGGTCAGCTAAACACAATAACCTGGACCAGTGGCTGCAGATTGATTTGGGTAGTAGGCACACCAAGGTAACCGGCCTAGCAACTCAAGGCAGAAATGGCCCATACCGCCAGTGGGTAACTAAATACAAAGTGCAGTACAGTGACGACGGTGTCAACTTTCACGACTACTCGGAAAAAGCGCAGGGAGGAATCAAGGTAAAATCGTTTTCTACCTGGATATAAATTCTCCTAGCCTCATCATTGTTCCTTGACAAGACCACTCATGCCCAAACCTAAACTCCAAGCCCAAAACCAACGCAAAGTAAACAAGTTTACTCCTCTAATCATCTATTTATTTGCACCTGTGATGAAAGACGCTGCTTTTAGTACCTTTGTACGACTCACAACTTTTAGCCTAAAGCTGAACCTGCACATAGCCGAAGGGCCATTTCAAAGCAGAGACGACGTTTTCCTTTCAGGAGTTTGATGGAAACGCTGACGAGGACACTGTGGTCTACCACGAGCTCAGCAATGCAATCAGAGCGCGCTACATCCGTATTCGACCAACAGCCTGGCACATTCACATATCCATGAGGGTTGAAGTCTATGGTTGTAGAGAAGCCTTCCCGGTCACGGGAGGTAAAAACAAGCCAGGTCTGGATAGGGTGTTCAAAGTGCATCCAAATAATTTTAAAAACCTTTTTTTATAGCTAAAATTTGCAAAAAAACGAATGGAAAGAAAGCGAAAAATAGATCCTTTTAAAAGTAAGAACCAACTAGGATTTAACTATTTCATGAATTCTTTAAATACACCTGGAAAGACTTTATATCGGATTAGGCTAAACGCGGATTAGGCTAAACGCCAAAAACACATATTGTACAATTCCAGTTCACTACTTTAAGAAGTGGTGTCAGTTCTAAGTGGCAAATTGCGTGGAGTCCAGTGCTTGGTACCCGGAATCAACAGTATGGATCCCTTTAACCAAGACTGTCTTGAATTCCCCTACACTGGGCGAAATCATCAGTAGTTCCTGCGATAGAAAATTACCCTTTTCCCTCTCATTTGAAATCAATCATATAATAAAGGTTTTATTCCATTTAAGGTGCCCCTGACTGCGAGCTGGATTTATGTCTCGTTCTCGACAAAACGAAGAGCGTAGGAAGGGAAAATTATAACACCATGTTGGAAGCAGTTCGTACACTTATATCCAAGTTCAATGTTGGCCCCAGGAAAACACGTTTTTCAATAGTCACATATGATAAGAAAGCTCAGGTTCGGGTCAGCTTTAAGGAAACAGCGAAACAAAACAAGAATGCTTTAAACAACCTTTTGGACTCGATGAAGGCTCAAGACAGGTTAGGTAATCCAACCCGTACTGATTTGGCACTGGAGACGGTCAGTAACGAAGTATTTACTACCGCAAACGGAGACAGGCCCAATGCTCCTAATGTAATGATTGTGTTTACCGACGGTGCAACGCACAAAAGTTCCAAGCCTTACAGCAAGGTTCTTCCCCCACTGGTGGTGAGTACACGTATACTTAGCTCTTTACTACATCATATTATCGCAAATCCTTCTTTTATGTTTCTGCCGGTCTACTCACCTTTTCGTAGGTTTTTCTTTGAAAGCAATATAAACGGCTCAAGACGGCTTTGGAGTTTTGATAGAGGCAAGGACGTTTTAAAGGATAAATTCTGAGTTATCATAATTTTGTTATCAACGCTTGACTTGTCTTAAACATTCAATACATACAGTACACTCGAGTGCGTAAAATTCGAACCACATATGATCAAATCACCAATAGCTGATTGAAATCTAATTGTGAAAGGGAGGGGGCAATCCCGTGCAAAAGGAAGAGGATGCTATGATAATAATAATAATAATAATAATAATAATAATAATTAATAAAGACTTTATTAATCCGTGAAAATGCCTAGCTTACAAGAAGTGTAAACTATTTGTGGACACCTAAAAAAAACTACCTAGTCAAACAAACTAAAATAAACAAACTCGGAAACCCTACCCGCGCCCTCTATATTCCTAAATAACCCTAATTTTGTAATTTCTTCGTAGTTAAGTTCAAAATATTTTAATTAGTAATTAGCTAACATTGTAATTAGTATTAGATTAAGTGTTGTAAATAGTTATTGTAAAGCATTGTTCCTGAAAAGCCCCTCTGTAACCTGCGGAAACACCCGTTTCTCGTCGCTCTTCGCCGCTGGGGCCGTTTTGCGCGGAGGAACGTCTGCGACTCAGCGGCAGAAATTCCATACTGATGACGCAAATCAATGTTTACATAATAAATCCGGTAGTCACAGGGTTGCAAATATAAATTTGTCCAATTTTGCGAGTCTTCTGGACAATTTTGGTAAAGTGTTATGTTCATCTGCCAACGAACTCTAGCAAAACTCAAATGTTTGTTCTAGAGAAGACTATATTCCATAGATATTGACTGTTTTGTTAGCGATTCTTCGCGTTTACATTTGACCTTTGTGGCCTTTTGTCTTTTGTCTGTCATTCGCGAACAATAGCTTAAACAATGTAACCTCTCCGTCGACCAATCAGCGCTTCTGACCGGATTCCGGACAGATTTTACGTCATCAGTATGGAATTTCTGTCGCTGAGTCGCAGACGTTTCTCCGCGCGAAACGTCCCTGCGGCGAAGAGCGAGGAGAAACGGATGTTTTCGCAGGCTAGCCCCTTTGGGGAGGTAACAATAAAGTATGTATGTATGTATGTCCTAGAGGAGACCAATTTTACTCCTCACCATGAAAACTTCTGTAATGAAATTTCTCAATTTTCATGGAAAGCGAACTTGCAAATCAGTTTATCATATTATATTGTTTAAAGGCGTACTTTAAAGGGATCAATGCGGGATATTCGCTTATTTGCCCCAATCAAACTTGAGCAAAACCACGTAAGGTTCTAAATTGGGAAAATGAAAATCTTTTCTATCGTCAGTACAATAAACTATATTTTGTAACTGATATTCAGGCTAAGGGCGTCCATCGTATTGCTGTTGGAATCGGGAAAAAGATTAAATCAGACGAACTTGAGACTATTGCAGGGAGCCCTGATCGTGTGGTAACGGCTAAAAGTTTTGATAAGCTTAAAAAAGAGCTGGACGAAATACGTGAAAAAAGTTGCCGTAAGTACTCTATAAATTTCTCTTTAATGAGTAACTGTTCCTATCATGTTTTTTCCTTATTTTCGGCAGGTTACGGACAGTGTATCCTGTTAAAACTGAGAAAAAATGTTAGCTTTAAGTGCTCATTACTTAAAAACGAGTTCGAGAAACCAAATTTTAATTTCAAATATATATTTTTGTTTAAAAAATGTTGTTACTAGTTCATATCTACTCCTACAAATACCCCGCTAGGACGATTTCGGGAGAGAAACGACTTCGTTTTGGCTTTAAAAATTCCACAGTGATCATGACGTAAAGTAATGTAAACATAACTAACTGTTTGGTTTGAGTTCAAGTCCTTCTGTAAAAAAATATGGCTTATGCTCGGGTTCTTAATTAATACTTTTGGTTAAGGAAATATTTTCCTAGGAAATGAGCGTATCTTGTAGATCAGGCAGATTGTTTTCATTTGTCTGTAAGGTTTAAAAGTTTTTTTAAAGAACATAATTACGCTGTCAACCAATCAGAGTTCCTTAACAGATTCTGAAAGTGCAGCAATGTAATGTGAGCAAGCTAGCTTACAGATGCTTTTTTTAATTGTGATGAAAATAAGGTAGCTCGAATTTCTCAAACATGGCGAAAATTTGAATGTGAGACGTACTTATTGATGTTCGCTGATGAAAAAGAAATCTCTACCAAGCTCTTTGTAGAGGGTCTTCTTGATATTACATGCTTAGACTAATGAGAGCAAAAACAAGGTACATACGGGTAGAAAATTGGTGACCTGTGTCTTATTTCTCGTGTCTTTTTTTTAAAAATTTATTAAGGGGTAAATGGAAACTAACGTAAACACTTTTAAAACTTTTTATTTTATTCTTACAAGGAATTGACGGCGGTTATACTGAATGGAGTAAATGGTCAGAATGTTCTGCTACCTGCGGCGGAGGTGTGAGATCGCGTACTAGGACATGTACTAATCCGTCTCCGAAAAACGGCGGAAAAACTTGCTTAGAGCAAGACCTTGGGCCTGCTAAGGAGACAGAGAAGTGCAACACTGATCCTTGCGGTATGTTTTGTTGCATTTATAAAGGTTTGGCCTGCATAACAGGTGGCAGGGTGGATGAGGCATGGCCGGCCATTCTGCCGCGCCCAATGTCCACACCCCCACTCCTCCTCTCCTCCTCTCCCACAAGCATTTGAGATTAATGACTACCAAGTTTGGAGAGTGACAATGTTGTTACTTTACATTAGCATCTTTTAGGGCCTGCACTGTTTCGGTTCACGTGCATTAACAGTCAATTCCAAATGAAATATTTATCCTCAGCAGAAGCTACCAAAGGAGTGAGCAACATCGGGTGATTTAGGACTAGAATTATAAGAGTGTTTCATCTACGAAATTTTTGCAAAAGGGCAAAGGGTATTAACTTACTTTACTTCCTACAAAATTTGAGTATAAATAAGGGCAAATGGTCTGCTTATCTGGCCAGAGTTTCTGTGTGCGAGTGTTTTTGTTTACGACAATTTCCTCACGAGGGAAGGATTCGCCGTTGAAAGTGCTCCCACGCTCACATCCCCAGCTATCAACGATCAGGCTAGAAGTTTAAGAGTTGAGGTGTAATAGATAACAATTTGTTTACGAGACAGGTATCGATGGAGGATATTCTGGGTGGAGTAGTTGGTCGAAATGTTCAGCTTCTTGTGGGGGTGGTGTAAGTTGGAGCCACAGAACATGCACCAGCCCACGACCAAGCGGGGACGGAAAAACATGCAAGGAACAAAGCCTTGGACCTGATAAGAAGTCAAAAGAATGCAACACTCAGAAATGCGGTAACATGTTATTCCTTTGTTACCCAAAATAAATACTACATTATATATTTTTATTTTTGAATCTGAATGGGAATACTTGCGATGAGATAAAAACGTCTGAGATGAAATTTCGGAGTGCTCTGGTCTTTTTTGAATACTTTCCCCGGTTCATTAACGGCCTGTTAAACTGGGCATTTATTAGCAAATGCGTCCAATGTTCACACCCCCACTCCCCCTCTCCTAATCCCCCTTTGGGAATATCTGCCAGACAGGGAGCAAGCATTTGAGATTAATGACTACCAGGTTTGGAGAATGACAATGTTGTTACTTTACATTAGCATTTTAGGGCCTGCACTGTTTCGGTTCACGTGCATTAACAATCAATTCCAAATGAAACGTTTATCCTCAGCAGAAGCTACCAAAGGAGTGAGCAACATCGGGTGATTTAGTACTAGAATTATAAGAGTGTTTCATCTACGAAATTTTTGCAAAAGGGCAAAGGGTATTAACTTACTTTACTTCCTACAGAATTTGAGTATAAATAAGGGCAAATGGTCTGCTTATCTGGCCAGAGTTTCTGTGTGCGAGCGTTTTTTTTTACGGCAATTTCCTCACGAGGGAAGGATTCGCCTTGAAAGTACTCCCACGCTCACATCCCCAGCTATCAACGATCAGGCTAGAAGTTTAAGAGTTGAGGTGTAATAGGTAACAATTTGTTTATGAGACAGGTATCGGTGAAGGATATTCTGGGTGGAGTAGTTGGTCGAAATGTTCAGCTTCTTGTGGGGGTGGTGTAAGTTGGAGCCACAGAACATGCACCAGCCCACGACCAAGCGGGGACGGAAAAACATGCAAGGAACAAAGCCTTGGACCTGATAAGAAGTCAAAAGAATGCAACACTCAGAAATGCGGTAACATGTTATTCCTTTGTTACCCAAAATAAATACTACATTATATATTTTTATTTTTGAATCTGAATGGGAATACTTGCGATGAGATAAAAACGTCTGAGATGAAATTTCGGAGTGCTCTGGTCTTTTTTGAATACTTTCCCCGGTGCATTAACGGCCTATGAAACTGGGCATTTATTAGCAAATGCGTCCAATGTTCACACCCCCACTCCCCCTCCCCTAATCCCCCTTTGGGAATGTCTGCCAGACAGGGAACAAGCATTTGAGATTAATGACTACCAGGTTTGGAGAATGACAATGTTGTTACTTTACATTAGCATTTTAGGGCCTGCACTGTTTCGGTTCACGTGCATTAACAATCAATTCCAAATGAAATATTTATCCTCAGCGGAAGCTACCAAAGGAGTGAGCAACATCGGGTGATTTAGGACTAGAATTATAAGAGTTTCATCTACGAAATTTTTGCAAAAGGGCAAAGGGTATTAACTTACTTTACTTCCTACAAAATTTGAGTATAAATAAGGGCAAATGGTCTGCTTATCTGGCCAGAGTTTCTGTGTGCGAGCGTTTTTTTTTTACGGCAATTTCCTCACGAGGGAAGGATTCGCCTTGAAAGTACTCCCACGCTCACATCCCCAGCTATCAACGATCAGGCTAGAAGTTTAAGAGTTGAGGTGTAATAGGTAACAATTTGTTTATGAGACAGGTATCGGTGAAGGATATTCTGGGTGGAGTAGTTGGTCGAAATGTTCAGCTTCTTGTGGGGGTGGTGTAAGTTGGAGCCACAGAACATGCACCAGCCCACGACCAAGCGGGGACGGAAAAACATGCAAGGAACAAAGCCTTGGACCTGATAAGAAGTCAAAAGAATGCAACACTCAGAAATGCGGTAACATGTTACTCCTTTGTTACCCAAAATAAATACTACATTATATATTTTTATTTTTGAATCTGAATGAGAATACTTGCGATGAGATAAAAACAGGTGAGATGAAATTTCGGAGTGCTCTGGTCTTTTTTGAATACTTTCCCCGGTGCATTAACGGCCTGTTAAACTGGGCATTTATTAGCAGATGCTACCAAAGATCGGAGGCAGGGGGTGGGGAAAAGTTTATTTTCCTTTAATACAATATTGGGGAGAAAGGATTTAAGACTAGAAAAAGAAGATTGTATGTTCTGTATTATTTTCTGGAAAAAGTGCAAAGAGGGCCAACTTTGACTGAAAAGGTATTAGCCTGCCTATCTGGTTAGATGTTTTGCTTTTGAGTGCTAGGCGCTTTTGTTTATGAACGATAATTTCCTGGCGGGGAGGATCCGCCGTTTAAAGTACCCCCACGCTCGGATACCAACCTCCACCAATTCGGATAAAAGGTCTAAGCTTTGAGGATTGTCTGTCTTTTGTCTTTTTGTCTTTCTGTCTGTGACAGGTGTCGATGGGGGATATTCTGAGTGGAGTAGTTGGTCGAAATGTTCAGCTACTTGTGGGGGTGGAGTTAGTTGGAGTCACAGAACGTGTACCAAGCCATCACCAAGCGGGGACGGAAAAACGTGCAAGGAACAAAACCTTGGACCTGACAAGAAGTCAAAAGAATGCAACACTCAGAAATGCGGTAAAATGATATTCCACTACTATGTGAAGTATTTCATTACATATTTTTTATTTTGAATCCCAATGAGAAACTCTGCGATGCCATGAACAAATCTGTGATGAGAACGACAATATCTTTGTCAGAGTGTCCTGGTCTATTTGGAATTCTTTCCCCGCTGTATTGACGGTCTTTTCAACTGAAACATTCATTATCAAAAGCTACTTAAGAGGCAGGAGCGGACAAAAAACTATTCTGTCTTGAATACAGCATTAAGTAGAATTGATTTCAGACTAGAATTACAAGAGGGACGAACTTAAAAGTAATTATATTTGTTGTAAAGGAGGAAGATTATCAACTGTTTTACAAAATAAAAAGATCTCTCAAAATGTTTAAATCTTAATCTGATTGTTAATTCTGCGGGTATGCAGGTTGGGTTTGTAACAGGAAAGTTAGAATTTAATTTTTATTTAATTTGTGTCTTACTGTTCATATCAGGTATAGATGGCAACTGGTCTCCATGGAGTAGTCCTGGACCCTGTGATAAGACTTGTGGAGGCGGTATGCAAGTAAGGAAGAGAACCTGTACAAATCCACCACCTTCAGGTGATGGCAAAAAATGTGGAGGACCAAGCACAAAAACGGAGAGCTGTAACACACAAGAATGTAAGGAAAATACGGTAAAAGACGCAATTTTTGCGTCTTTGACAGCGATAATCTTCCCGAGTCATTTAATTCTTCATTTTGCGGTTCAAATATATAAAATGTATCATCTATCAAAGATGACGTTTGTAACTCGAATATTTAAGCGATTATGTGGCTGTTCAAAAGACTTTTTCAATTTTTATTGATGATCAGTAACTTAACATTAACTTCATCATACCCTTTCTTGTTCTTTAAGGTCCCCCTCCCCCACCCCGTCCCTGTAGGGAACATTTAGATGTTGGCGTGATTATAGACTCGTCAAATAGTATCAAACCATACGATTATGCAAAGGCTCGCAGGTTCCTACAAAGCCTTGCTCGCAGACTGCAGGTATCAGAGGCTGGTTCACATATGGCGCTGATTTTATACAGCTGGGAGGCGCATACCTATCACAGGCTAGTATTTTCTTTTGTAATACTTTTGCAAATTTAAGAAATGGTAAACGTGCAGCGTGCAACCATGGAGTTATGGATGCACGCGGGAGGTTGCTAAGCACGAAAGAAGCGTAAGAGTCGCACGAGGCGATAGCCGAGTGCGACTCTAGCTTCTTGAGTGCTTAGCAAACCTCCCAAGTGCATCCATAACTCCATGGTTGCACAGCTGCAACGTTTACCATTTCTTTTATAACATAATCAAAAGAGAAAAACATTATTTTCCATTTGCCTTCGGTTGAGTCATCGGTACGAGTTCAAGTATGCTGCCACCTGCCCGCGCGTAAACAAATCATGTTCTATGTTTTTCAAAAACTTGCCTTTCAGTTTTTCTTTCGCTGAATCAACCGTTCTCCGTCTTCAGTTAAATTGCAAAACGTTTTTCGTTGTTATTCTGAATGGCATCTGTCTACTTGCTCTTAATATTAGGGTAAAAACTTTGCGGGAAAACTATAGCTGCAACTATAAACACCAACTAAAAAGACTCTAAAAAACAAGCTAAAACTAAATAAATGAAATAATCATCAATCTTATTTATGTGACAATTTTTGAAATAAACGCAAAGTAGAAATGAGAAAATTTGAAGGTAATTCCTTTAGAATAACAGGTAACACTAATTTTAAAAAGAAATTAACAGCTTTGTATCGAAATCTGTGTGGGGAAATCCAGCTATGAAAGTCAAAATTAAAACTGAAATTCGCCGACTCCCAGCGGCGCTGAAGCTGTTGTTTTTCGACCGTTCTCTGAACGACTGTTATGAATGAACACCGAGGAACAAAATAATACACACAGAAGTCATTTTTTGAAAAATTTATTTGAAAACCCAAATAACGCGTTCCAAACTAAAATGGGTTTTTCCAAAACCAGTATTTTCCGTTGAGAAAGTGAATATTCCTCGGAGCCTATACGCTGTTCATTGAAAATCTTATCATTCCTAACAACAACGAAACCGGTTCAGTAAAGAAAGCCTTTATTTGACCGTCACAATTTGGCAGTCAGTTAAACATGCCAGTAAAACTTCTGAATATGCTGACCCTAAGAAAACTTGATCTCACCGCATGCAGAATGAAAATCTGCTAAAACTGAACTACATCGGCAGCGACTATTTTCCCCCGATGCAGAAATTCTGTATCCTGTGCAGTGGTTAAAATAGGCCTAAAATGTACTGAATTCAGCTACCATGCAGAAATTCTGCACGCGGTAAAATCCGTGAAAATCTACAGAAACTGTACTACATCAGCAGCGACTATTTTCTCCCGATGCAGAAATTCCGCATCATGTTCAGTCGTTAAAATAGGCCTAAAATGTACTGAATTCAGCTACCATGCAGAAATTCTGCACGCGGTAAAATCCGTAAAAATCTACAGAAACTGGACTACATCAGCAGCGACTATTTTCCCCGATGCAGAAATTCTGCATCATGTTCAGTCGTTAAAATAGGCCTAAAATGTACTGAATTCAGCTACCATGCAGAAATTCTGCACGCGGTAAAATCCGTAAAAATCTACAGAAACTGGACTACATCAGCAGCGACTATTTTCCCCGATGCAGAAATTCTGCATCATGTTCAGTCGTTAAAATAGGCCTAAAATGTACTGAATTCAGCTACCATGCAGAAATTCTGCACGCGGTAAAATCCGTGAAAATTACTTAATTCAGCTACGGATGCAGAAATTCTGCACGCGGTAAAATCCGTGAAAATCTACAGAAACTGGACTACATCAGCAGCGACTATTTTCCTCCGATGCAGAAACCAAGTTCAGTGGCTAAAACAGGCCTAAAAAATGACTGAATTCAGCTGCTGACATCGCCAGAAACTAGACTAAATAAGCAGTATTCGTAAAAGACATTGCCCAATAGTTCAAATAGACTTCAGTTTACTGGAAATGGTGATGCGATTTTTTTTCTAAATGCATGGTTGCGTCGCCAGCGCATGGTGAAAATCACGGGTAGCCACCCTCGCGCACGTGATACGATGGCTACAGCTGAAAATAACTAAAAAATCGTTCAAAATTTAATGACTTGATTCCCTGGCATCAAAATCACACGGGGTTTGTCAATAACTAGTGCAGCGGCGACAATTCTCGAAAACATGGCATCATAACCGTAGCTGCGGCTAAATATTGAATACTCCATAAAATTAATCTAACCGCTATTGCACCATGCATACAGTTGTTAGTTGAAACCAAAAAACCTTCAAAATATTATATATCTACTTTTTTACTAATGCATGGTTGAAGTGAAAAAAAAGATAAGCAAACGCAATACTTAACAACCAGATAGTTAGGTGTTTTCAAAGCCCAATGCGGTTTGAGAATACAGCCAGGTGTTATCAACACAGAATTGGATGAGTGTCCCATGATAAGATCATTCAAAATCTTCTCAGTTATTTCTTTGTAACTGTTCAGTCTCGAAGAAAATACTTGGTTTAACCATTCAGATAAAGCCTCTTCAGTAGAACTTTCACATGGTGCTTTATAGTGTTTAGTATTTCACAAAAAATGAATTAGATTTTTTCTCCTATATTTACATGGGCACTGGGAGTGAAGGTTTTAACAGTGTGCATCCTGGTGATTATGAATTATTTGTACTATTCCTCAGTGAGGAATACTTTTCCATTAAGTGCCTTCTTGTAGTCACCTGCAGCTTCTTTGCTTCAGTAAGTTCAAAGGAGTGGAGAATAATACACTCCTTTGGAAGAACTTCTGTCCAAGGTTCCCTTGTTCTTGGAAGGCTTAAAGGTGACCACTTTCCTCTGTATGTGCCTTTCCAGTAATGGATTTTGAAATGATCCTCACTGATCTCTTTTAAAACACCAATCACTGGCTCCTCTTCACAGTTTGATAAGAAAACTGCTGCATATGTTTTCAATTTGAAGCCCTTCGTAGAAAGAGTCAACACGTTCAACAGGATTTTCTCTGTTGCTGGGGCAACATACCTTCCAGTGTAAATCTGAAAAAGGATACAGTTTAATCAGAAAAGGTTAATTAAGGTTACCGTGTACGTTCAGAGGGAAAAAAATCGATTTTCGTTTTTTAAGTTGGAAATAAACTTTGCAGCAAGATCTTTCAAAAGAGTGAATATTTGCCGAGAAATTGGGATGTAAGCGATTTCCACCGGAAGTTAAACTCCACTTTGATTGACAGCATAAGGTAATCATGCGGTCACGATGGTTCACCGGTACTGGTGTTTCCGCCGCTCTTTCTGCTGATGATTTGTAGCCCGCCTTTGTCGCTTCGGCTTGGGCCCAACAGCTTTGCTTGATGAGGTCTTTCCTCGTTTAGTTTTTTTCACGATGATTATGTATACAAAATGCAATATCGACGGAAAATAAAAACCGCAAATATCCAACAAAATGGCGAAGGAATTGATTACTCTGTAACGGGAGTACGTGCAAAATTGCGAGAAAATCATCACAGCAGGTAACCGGAAGAAAAAGGGCCTTGCGAAACAATTGCCTAATTTCCCGTAAAGGCGTTAGGGGGCGGTACTTGTTTCTGTAGCGATAATTTTTTTTGAGCGCTCTTTTCTCGAACTTTAATTTTCGCTTCAAGGAGACACTTTCAAGAGTTACAACTCAACAACGATTTGGCCGATTTCGGTAAAATTTGGCCAGATGCTAGAAAGGTATGTAATCAACAGAGACGTGTCGGGGAATTCGATAATTCTTAAAACTCTTTCCTTGACAGCCATTTCCGTGCGTTCACTCCGCATGTTTTTCTTGCAGTTTTCAAAATGTTCCGTAACTTTTGAACGCAATCGAATTAAGGAAAACACTGACACGTTTTTTTTAACCTTTGAGATGCTGACCGTGAGAAAAAAAAAAAAAACTTCCAAAATGTAAAAATCGCATTGAGTTGGAACTGTAGAAAGACGATCTGTGCCTTCAAGTTTAGACTACGCGGAAAACTTAGGAATTTATTTTCTTGAAAAAGCAATGAAATATTTGAATACCCAGTTCCATAAGCTTTAATTTGATATAGGGTTTTGGGTATCTGTGATGTAACCGAGAGGCGCTACACCCGTTAAACTGGAGCCACCCCTTAAGGTACACTGTAACCTTAAAGAACTGACGAACTCAGATATGAGAGAATGTTTAACTTAAAGAGCTGCCAAGTCGTAACATGTGAACCCTTAGAAAGTAGACTTATAACAGAAAATTCACCAACTCAGACAATTTCAACTTGCCTGTTTTGTTGGCCGACATTCCTTGTCCTGTAGAGCTTGCAGGTGTTCAGGGACAGATTGATCAACCGTATATGGCTTTATTTTCTCTGCGATCAGAATAGCATTCAAAGGCCACTCCCATGCCTCTGGCACAGCAGCCAAATTGTCTACGTTATTCACCCACTCACTCCAAAATGAGAACGCCTGTTCAGGGTAGTGATCTCTGAACTTGTTAAGGTCACGCTTCAAACCTTCAACATCAATTCTGTCTAACACAGGTCTCACAAGACTTGGTTTGCCACCTGGATGACTCTAGTGTAAGAACAAAGGTTTTACGATGAACAATTAACAGTGCAATGCATTAATTAAAAGATCACTTTAGTATTATGATCTGTAAGATGCAGACAAATGATAAAAGGTTGTAACTGCACCTTCAAAATAATCACAGGACCTTCCCATGGCATGTGCGAGTAGTTTCGATAAAACATTTGGCACTTCCCAGCAGCATTTCTGACAAATTTGAAGCACTTTGGCTGAGTATGGTCATGCAGTTGCTCTGCATGAGGTGCCAGCCACTCTTTTATGTTGTACACAGCATCCAACAGAAAAGGAAGGACTTTGACATTCTGTATGCAATTTTTCATTGCCTCTTGCATTTCTATGGGAGAGAAGAAAAGAAAATTGCAAATGTTATCTCAGTAAATAGTATTAATATTAATAAATAATTATAATTGCAACAATCTATCTCTTATTTCATGTGAATGGGTTATTGGTATTATGTCCCAAGTGACTTATGATCTCATATGAAATTATCCCTTTATTTACGAGCATACACAAAGGTAACTGAAAGATGAATCCAGCAGTTTATCTGAAATTACTTGATGCTTCAATCCAGGCACCCCTTTGTTTAGTTCAAACATGCGTGTAAGAACCTAGCGGTTTAAGAACCTGCTGGCAGAAATTTCCCATTTTATACCCAAAAATATAAGAACCTGTTTAGCCAAGCAAAATTTATTAGGTTCTTATACGTGACTTATGGAATATTTTCATAAGCATTTTTCACTATGAAGTATAACTGATTTTGAGAAATAGGAATACTTCATGGGAAGTACGCGTACGGTTTATAGTGTATAATTATAATTATTTAGTCAGTCTTGCACACGGCTCATGACAAGACAGTTATAAATAAATGCTGTATCATAAAGGACCAAACCTACTTTTTCTGCTTGTACATGAATGGTTCCTACTAAAAACTTAAGAACCTAATTAAGAACCTACTTTAGCCTAAATTTTGCCAATAACTTTCCCCAAATATAAGAACCTGTTTTGCCAAACTTGGAAAAATGAAGGTTACTGTATTACAAGAGATATGTACACCTACCATCCATTGTGTAAACATCATTTAGATCCAGGTGCTTCGAATATACCCCAAAAAAAAGCATCAATCTCTTCATGGGTGTGCCCCCACAGGAAGGAAGTTTAACTTGATCTAAGGGATTGCAAAAAATGCACACAAGTAGGGAAAAAGTTAAGACAACTAAATTTTACAACTTGGTGACCACTGAGACAGTTTCCATTACAAAGATAATAGTCAGTGTTGATCTACAAATACTCTAGTTCCTTGCTTTTACTTCAGCTGTCATGATTACAACACTTGCATTTTTCAAAGGCCTTCTTTTACTGTAGGTGCTTATTATAAGAGGGAAATTTGCACTTAGAAAACAGATGCGCTTACAAATTTGCATTAGGTATAATGATAATATTGGGACATCAACTCCTAACACAACAGCAAAAGTCTTCAATGAAAATGAAATATATTACACATGAAAATATCACAACATGCATAGGCACAAAACTTGACACAAGTTTCTGGCGCATTTTATGATTTGATTCACAACTTGTTGCTTCCGAATCCTTCCGAATACATTCCAAAGGACTCACCATATCACAAACGTTTCCGAGTCGATGGAAGTGGTACGATACATTTTTTCTATAATGTTCGGGTATTGCCAAATTCCGATGGAAGTTACAACTATAATGTCTTCTTTTAGACAAACCATTCTTTGGATGCATTCTCTCTGCCGTTCCTTTAAAAGACTTTTTGAAAAAAATCTGAAGTCGAAGCAACAGCAGCTGTAAACAGAGCCTAAACATCACTCCTCTTCGAATCCTTCTCGGCAGACATAATTGGATCAGCTGAACTGGACTGCAGGCAGATGACTCGTCAAGAAAATTGTATCAGGCGTACATTTCCGCCCTCTCTAAAGAAAAGTACGCCTGGCCCGGGTTGCTCGAAGCATGGTTAGTGCTAACCAGCGCTAAATAGCATGGAAACCTATACATTTTGATACCTCTTAACCAACGGTTAGCGCTAACCAGGCTTCGAGCAACCGGCCCCAGATCGCAGGTTATGTCCGTTAACTTTTGTTCACGTGGCGCGATGATTATGACTTTCCCCAGGAGCGCGCAGTAATTACCTGTAGCTGCCTGGAGCAATATTTCAATCTTCTCTTCCTGAGAACGACGTTTATCGTTTATCCTTAAAAGAGCCATCTTAAGTTGAATTATAGAAGGTTTTTAAGAGGGCGGGGAATTTGTTGGTGCATCATCATCATGACTGGTTAGTCCATAAAGTCCATTCAAAATTAAAAACATGCATGCACCACGGTTTTCTTCTTGATTGTCGGAATACAAGCTGGCATTAACGTTCCAGTCCGCGGGTTGCCTGAACTAAATAGGGCTAGATTGCAAAATACCCGGTACACCAAATGTCTTACTTAAAAAACTGCTACCGCATTCTCGCAGTCTTGAAGTGAAGTGAAGTGAAATTATTAGTCTCTCCCCTCGGGGCTTTTCAAGACTAATTTATTGCTGTCACGCAGTTTACAATTAATTAAGAAGGTAACAGATGCCCCTCGTTCTTTTAATAATAGAGGTGTATGACATGTTGAGTGTCCTTAACTGAACCACAAAATGAAAGCTAAAATTTTACGAGAATGCTTAAGCCTAATCACTGAAGCGAGCGCTTAGGCTTAATCAGTAAACGAGTGCTTTCTTCTTCACACGAACTCGTGGAAAGTGTCGTTAACTGAACCACAGAATGAAAGCTAAAATTCTTACGACGCAGTGGCATGGGACAGAAAATGATACATATAAACAATTCTGTTCCTAAACGGGGTATTCTGCAATCACTGCTAAGCTTTCATTTCGCGGTTCGGTTAACTACACTTTTCATGAGATCGTCTGAAGAAGAAAGCACTCGTCTACTCATTAAGCCTAAGCGCTCGCTTCAGTGATTAGGCCTAGGCATTCTCGTAAAATTTTAGCTTTCATTTTGTGGTTCAGTTAAGGACACTCAACGTGTCATACACCTCCTTCTTTAATCCACAAATCCTAAAAACGCCACTTAAAAAACTGGCCGTTATTTTCAATTATTATTTAACTACTACGTGACTTCGGACCCCGGTCACAACCATTTTACTCTTCGGAGTTATCAAATATCCAGTCATCGACCACGGGACTGCGGACCGCGGTGGCAGTTCATTTTTGCTTGCCCTTTCAACAGTTTTCATTCATCGACTACGGGACTGCGGACCGCGGTGGCAGTTAGAACACTTTAGAACACCTTATTTATAGGGTGCATAATTACAGTAGAAAAACTGTATTCTCCCTTATGGCCATGTTAAACTAAATACCCTAATAACTAAAATACTAAATTAATAAATTACTCAAATACTAAAATACCCCAATACTCAAATACTATAATATTCAAATACTAAAGTACAGTTCATTTTAATGCTTTCCCTTTAACAATTTCCATTCATCGACTATGGGACTGCGGACCGCGATGGCAGTTCATTTTAACACTTTTCATTCATCGACTACTGGACTGCGGACCGCGGTGGCAGCTTTTTAAGTAGGGCGTTTGCTGGGCCGGGGATTCTGCAATCATAAATAGTAAGCTCATCTGCTGGCATTAACGGTTGGGGAATATCTTGCGTGTTGTCCTCGTCTCCGAGCGAAGGGTGTCTACATGCTCTTTACGGTAGTGGCGTTTTGCAATTACGCTTACCATTTGATACACTCACCGTTGTCATTTATTCCAGCCGCAGCGCAATGGTCCCCACCTCGACGCCTCTTGATAGGGGTACTTTGAAAGATAGTATCTCCTTTACGTTGACATAAAGCTTCAAGAAATTCTTTTTCCTCACTTATCCGTTTGTCGCTCATAATCACGGTTAATGGCTGAAATGTGCCTTGTACGTATTCCGCATGTTATCTGTCACTGAAAGTGCATCGGATGGTCTGTAGTAAATCAAAGTTGTCGATTATTCGCGTATACCTCGTGCATGGGAACGGTTTCGATTAAACACAGTAACGTAAAATGACGTGTCTATGACGTGTCTCAAAATCATTGGACTATTTCCACGAAACTCTCAACGTTCTTTGTCTCTCTTTATCCCTGTGATTTGTTAAATTCTATTACCCTCAAACACTTTTCAGATGTACCGGCTAGAATATTTTGACACATTAATTCGTTTCCGGTTCTTACAACTTGTCGCACATCCGAAGAAGCTTCGTTTTTAACGTTTCCTGCCTTTACTCGCAAAATGGGCCTCTGGACGATCCAATTAGCAAAACGCGGGGACAAGCCAAAAGTGTTTCGCGATGGTTCGCCCCTAAAAAAGAGTGATGGACAGCGTTATGGTACAGTGGTAAACGTGTCATCCTCTGTCCAAGCAGGGAGTAATAAGCTCTTCGTCAAGGTGAGACTTTAAAATTTATCTTTTCCGCTTACAATAATCCCTACTCTAGTTCGATTAATTTTACATGACTATTGTCTTGGGTTTCGAGAAATTGTTGGCTGGAAATTCTTTCCAAGTTTGAGTTCCAAATACCACCACAATCTATTCATTTCCGTTAGCAATGACAGAAAAGTCTCGGTTTAAGATCATCCGGCTATTGTTTACACGTGTCGCGAGAAGCTAGCTTTTGAAGAACGAGGCATACAACAATGGAGATTGTTGTTATCCAGTGGGAGGCCGGTCGTTTCGCCTACAAGTCGTTTCGCCTACAAGTCGTTTCACCTACACTCTGGTTGATTCGCCTACACGATCAAAGTCGTTTCGCCTACAATGAATTACTTATAACATAACAGCGTATAAATAGCAGTAAAGCTTAAACGTAATAATCGTACCAGTGTCATTTCATGTCTTTTTTTGATGCACTGTGAAACGGCACATTTTTGTCCGGTTTTCCTTTCATCAAGTCGGAATTCACTGGATCCCAGTCCTTTGCGATGGATCCTTGTTCTAGTCCACGCGCGGTTCGGTAAATTAACGTTCAGTTTAGGGACTAGGGGTAAGCGCCATTACTACCCCCTTTATTTTTCCCTGGCTATCAATCGACTTTAATTTCCGGTGGGGAGACTATGTTCTCATCGCCAATGTTCTAACGTGAGCGGGGTTGAAAGTGTTTAATAGACAAAGGAAGGTTTCCCTCTCAGGAAACACGCGCTCGTGCTATTGTAATGCGTTTCTAAAAGGCAAATAATTAGCATCAGTTAAACCAATTGAATGAATAAAGGAAATCAACAAATCACGGTTAAGATGAATTAATGTGATCCTCTTGAATTAATGAAATCAGTGTCCTCGAGTATAAAAGCTTGAACATTCATAAAGCACGCCACCCGATCATCGATCACACTAGAAACATATTCCTCTATATTCACGAACGACTCACAAACTGTTCACGAATGGCGGACAAGCGAAACGACTTTGATCGTGTAGGCGGATCGATCTGAGTGTGAAGAAAGATCGGTTGTTCACACGCCTCAACTCGGAAAAAGGTAAAATTAAACTTGTTTTAGTTTAATACTTATCGATCTTCAATCGCAACTGTGTAGGCGAAACGACTTTGATCGTGTAGGCGAATCGACCTAAGTGTAGGCGAAACGACTTGTAGGCGAAACGACTTGTAGGCGAAACGACCGACATTCATCCAGTGGTATGTAACTGAAATAGCTGGGTATTCGGAAATTCTAGCCTATCGACAAAGATTTGTTTAAATTACGTTTAACTGTCTTTGAAAGTCACTCACTAGAAAACTTAACAAAACGTGCTGTATTTGTTTTTTACCTGGTGAGATGTTCATTCAGGTTGAGATGTTGGTCAAATTTGCTATGCTTTGTTTTTAAACAGCATACTTTGTAGGTATACCTCGTCACACATAGATTCCTTTTAAAGAACTCAGCAAAATGAATCCTTATTGATTTTGGATATAAATATTTTGAAGATTTGAAAATCGTGGCTACAAATTTGGCAGTCTGTAGAGGTATGCGAATTTATGAGCTACTATATGTGTCGCATTTGTGCAACGCACTGAATTTACGCAAGTTAATATATTTCATAAAAATTCTTTGACTTGGGCCATTTGTTCCCAAAAGAATAAAACGCAAACAGCGGTTACAAACAATTGTTTGAAATGCATAACTTTTATAAACTTAACGTTTCGTATGTTACTACATGCATCATGAGGAGATCGTGATCTTGATATTTGAACAAAATAAAGTAACGCAATAAATTTTGAATTACATTACGATTTCTTTATAGATATAAAGAAAAGCAACTCTTTAGAAGACCGCTTTGAGCTGTCCAGTTACAGTCTAAAAATCTACAACGTGAATGCTGGTAACCTGAGATGGTAACCGTCGTTACGCTTCTGTGAGTTCTGTCAGCATAGGCGCCAAAACCCACTGAACAGCCAATCACAAGCGCGGTTATATTGAAAAATACGTTGTCATGATTTATGCATTAGGTTCGGCACATGTGAAGTACGACGAATGAATCGAAGTCGATCTTTTGCCGTTCTATTCGACAAGCTCAGTCGAATAGAACGGCAGAGTCGACCCAAATACAAAAGTGCCGTTCGACGTTTGAACCGGGCCTAAGAACACAGAGTTCTAAGAACATTGAAAACACTGAAAACACAGAACTACCGAAACGGTGTAATAAGCTCCAGAAGGCTCAAGAATACACCAGAGGTGAGTCATTTTGATTCATTTTATTGAATGAAAGTTAAATTGAGCATTATTTAGGCTTTATAATCGACGGTATTTGATTTCCCATACAAAGTCTTATAACGCGTTTAAATTCTCAATGGCTGTCTGTAGTGACGCGAGCTTGGGCTGCCTATGTTGAAACTTGAATGTTGAATATGTTAAAACTCCGATCGATGTCTCATTGTGAAACACCAATGTGGCATCACACGCAACAATGCTGAATGATAAAAACAGCAATGTGCAATTACGAAATTCAAACGTCGCATGGTGATAATGAAGGTTAAATGATAAACTTGAACATTACCCTGCGATTAGGCGTACTTTTCAGGGTGCACTTAAAAAGGAAAGGTACGCCTGATCGCAGGTTACTTGAACATCGAAAGCAAACCGAAAGCAAACCTTGAATTTTGGCAGGGATATAACGCCATAGTTAACATGGAGTATTAGTTGACTGAACTTTGCTGGTCCTTTCGACCCTGTGGGATTGCAATAAACTCTTTCAGGCTCGTTGCTGGCTATTGGAAGTAACGGATTTTATCGGCCTCTTACTAACACATTTCTCCACCTTCATTGTAGGTTGAATTCATTTCAGATGGTAAAAGTCAATTTTGTCTCCTCCCCGGAAATCCTTCAATCGGTTTGGTTCACATAAGGCTTTCAGCCACTGTGTAAGAAAACAACTGAAGCTCTAGTCGAAGAGCTTCAAAATGCCTTAAGAAAATTGAGGTCGTCCCAAGACGATTCATCTAGTTCGTGCAATAAAACAGACGTTTTATCCGAGTCCCTGTCCGAGGTAGTCGCAGACATCGAGAAAGGTCCGGATATCGATAAGACAACAGAGAGCAGCACAAGCAGCAAAAATACGTCCCCGGCCTGTTCCAGCAAATCTAGGAAAAGGAAATGCTCGTCCCCTGCGTCAACGGCCACCAAAAAAGTTGCACGAAGTGATGAAATGCAAGAATCGTGTGAGAAGTGCCTTATCTCAAGTGAGTGCTTTTATGTGACTTCATCATGAAAGGTGTCCATGTTGGTGGGGAAGAAAATAGCCTGTCGCTTTACTGGCAATTAAACTTAAAGTTTTGAGCATATTATTAAAAACGATTGTATTGTATTTTCGTATTAAAGCCAATTGCATGTTTGTTACATACGGGCAATTTCCTATACTTTGCATCGTTTACATTAACTACGTGTGCATGTACTTAAAATTCTGATTGGTTCTCTTAGAAGCTCTCTGCATCTCTTGTGATTAGTCCAAGTGATTGCTGTGGTTTTTGCGGCACTCAATTTGAAGACCACTCTATTAATTACACCAAAAATTAGAGAAAAATTTGATCACGTACACGTGTGATTTGCTTGAAGTAAAATCGTATCATCTGACTTCCCTACCCCTTTTCCCCCACTCTGTTTATATACACAGGGTTCGTATAGGTTCTGTTTAGTCATGGAATTCTATTGGTGGTGTTGAATGGGACTGGAAACTCCTGGAAATTGTAACTTTAACTCCAACAATATTTTTTCTTGATTGTCAAGCACTGCAAAAACCTGTCTTTAATACTCCCTGAAACTTTACTTTAAGTGCCTATGAAGTAAAAAATTACATTTGCATTTGAGCGAAAATGGCGCTTTCTCTTTCAAAAGATGTTTTTTCATTCCCAAAGCTTAAAATTGATGATGTCATCAGTGGTTCAAGCAAGAAGATAAATCACAAAATTGATAATATCTCTGGAAATATATAAGTGATGCCATTTAAACTTGGCACCAGTAATAGGCCATTTCAGAAATGTGAGAGGACTGGGACGAGTTTGGTTGCTTTCTGTTTGTTTAAAAAAAACTAAGACATTCAAATGAGAGATCAACCAAGTTTGAGATGTATTTAGAGGAGGAAAATGGCGAAATAATATATCTTCAAATATCACCTAAAATAGAGAGTTCGTATGGAATGGGTAGACAGGCCACAAAATTAGAAGGGTTTGTATGGGATTTTGCAACTTTTGCAAGTCTCCCATTTGGCCAATTTTCCGTAGAAAACTCTCAAAGTTGGCTGGATAGCTTTTTATTTGGTAACATTTCAGTTGAAGAGTTTAGATTTTCAATCTAAGCAAGTATGAGAAACTCGTCCTAGTCCTCTCACGTTTCTGAAATGGCTTATGTACGTCAGATAAGACATAATAACAGTTCTGCTTCCCAGTCTATTTCATGCTGGATTAAGTTTCCAGTTTTTTTTTTAACATTATTAAGCATTGTCCACCTGTGATGAGGTGGTAAAGAGTCGTAAGGTAATATGGGTATCACATGTGTTTTCAAGTAAGACCATCTGTTCACTCCTCACCTGTTCAAAATTGGAGATATTTGATTCATGGCTAAAGAAGCCTTAGACCTAGAGTGTTGCTATGGGAACATCACAGAAGGTATCATTTTGCTTATTTCCTGACGTTCATTACTGGTGCCAAGTTTAAGTTTCTCAAAACTCCTGAAAAGCTGTTCTGCATGCATTAGGCTCATTCCCAGAAGTTCTCTTCTGTTAATAACTAAGCACGCTATACACTGTACAGTTGAAAATTACATTAGGCTGGCTATCTCAAAGTACAATTCAGTCAAAAAACAGCTTGAAAAGTGGCTTCTCAAACCTGAAATGTTTCTGGAATTTTGAGAGAGGCATGCCAGTTGTTAAATCTAGAAAATGCAGTATCTAGACTGCAGTTAATATTAAGACGATCTATGTTTTGTTTTAATCATCACAGCAACATCACAACTCATTCCCATTGAGAAGCTTGGTTTGCCTGTCGGCCCATCAAGGCAATTTCGACGCGTAAATGATGCATTTGTTGACAGCCTCAAAGAAGAATTGTTAAAAGAGCCAAGTGGAAGTCATGGATGTCTGTTCGTGGTTTGCAAAGGGTGTAGAAAGCAAAGAAACATTTGATCCAGCTAAAAAGGATGCATATGAGTACAGTTTTGGGGGTACTCACCTGATGCTAGCCACCAAGAAACTTCATTCCCAGTACCCAGAAAACAAACATTACCAAGGCAGAATGGCAAGAATCTACTGTGGCCTTACAGATGATCAGGCTGTTTACCTTGGTGCCATGCATCAAAGGTCGTCATCATTCTGTCATGACATTACATACAGAGAAGAGGTACATTTTGTATTAAAATTTTGGATTTGAAATTGAATTCAGGCATGCTTGAAGCATACCACATTGTTGTTGTCATTAAAGAAAGTGAATATTATTTGCTAGTCTGTCAATGAATATGAAACACTGCATAATCAATGATGTTGCATGTACATGTACAGTGTATGTAATGGCCAGCCTGTTTGTTAATATAGAGCCCAGTTAAGGCAATATGAAGAATTAATAACTTTTAATATGCCCTTTCCCACTACTTTCCTTGTGTCATCTAATTTACAGCATTTTTCTTCATACAAATTAATTTAGGTAGAGAGATGTAGATCTCAACTATATGGAGAGCTTGATGTACAGAGTGAACCTCCAAAGCCGCAACCATCGTGGAGAGATGAGTGTTCTCGTATTTTATACAAAGATGTAAGAATTTAATTCACTTAAGTAATGCAAGTTGAGTTTTTAAAAGAAATTGCTGAAAGGAGTGGTAACAGAATTACAGTCGTGACATTTTCCTACATGGAAACAGAGAACCATTAATTTTTTGGTTATTGCCTAACACATAGTCACTTGATTACAGTTGAATGGTGTTCAAGTTTTATTTGAAGTACTTTTGTCCCCTTCCTTGACCAAAGACAGTTATATTGTTCTGACATGTAGTTACATGCACCTAGCCAATCTCCGAGGTCATCTATCTTTTTCTATACGTGTACTTTGCTATGTCACCATTATCAGCAGCTCACATTAAGAAATTCTGTCTTACAGAAAAGAATTTTGTGTGAGGTCTTCACTATGGCACAAGTATCCTCAAGTACTTGGGCCGCTTTCATGGAGGTAAACAGGCTGTACGAGATTGGGAAGCTCAAAGGGCAGAAGTTTTCTCCTGGCGATGTCGTCAAAGGGACATTAGCAATTAAACAGTGGCATATGAAGCCATTAGTCAGCCTTCCTGATGAAACAAAACTATTCCTTTTGAACAAGGTAAAGGCAATATTGCAACAGTCTGGCATGAAATTTTGTTTTTCACTCCATTTTGTATTTTATTATATTTTAAGTTAAATTCCACTTCTTTTCAGTGGCTAATAACCCCAAGAATTTAAACTAATTTGTGTGTACTTTCTCTCTTTGGCATCCCTTGAAAATGTGTTTATGTAGCTTCTGTTCCAATTGTCGCTCTACAAACCCCTGTCTTTATTATCTGGTTCTTTTTAGATCTCTTCTGGTGAATTGTTATTAAAAGATTTAAAAACAGAAGCAGACAAGATAAAGACACTGAACACTGTACAGTTTACAGTTATGTCATTCTTTAAAGTAGACGATTGGGATGAGATAGTCAAGAGATTTGGTCCAATGGTCAACAACGAGAAGCTGTTGAGATTTACAGTAAGCCAACATGTTTTTCGTTGACTAATATAGAAATTACCTAGTATGTAACTATGTAAACAGTCATCTGCATTAATTATTACATTACACAGTATTCACATAGTTTTCTTCTTAAGACCTGATCCATTTTTGTAGAGATTTACTGTGGAAATCTAAAAGCTATGAACACTTTGATTTGATTTTTACATTTCCCACTGTACAGCAACCAATCAGAAGTAACGCAAAAACCTCAAACTACTTATATTACCATTACTGTTTGTGGTTTAATTTATTATTCTTGTGCTTGAAATTTAACCACATTGACCTCTTAGTGTTCACAATTTTTGGATTTTCATAGTAATACTTCTAGTGTTAAAAAAAAAAATTTGAGAACATTTTTCATTATATGCAAGTACAAAATACAACTATATATCCTGCAGGTTGGGGAGGAGAAATTAAGGTAAATAGTAAGTTCAAGTGATACAGTGAGAGTAGCTGACAATTCTATCATGTATATGAAGAAGAGGTAACTATTATCTACTGCAAAGGAATCTACTGAAGGAGCAGACTGTTCTTAAGGCATTGCATTACCACCAATTCTTGCTGGGTAATCAGTAGGAAATCTTTTAAAGATTTACTTCCAATATTTTTTTGTAGCTTATTGTTCCTATTCCTTCAATTTAGGGAAATTTTGAGGCCTCATATGATTTCCAAGTGTTCCTGAAGAGGTTGAAAGAGTGGGAATCTGCTAGGCATGAGGCAGCAGAAGATACCCCAGTTGCTACCCTGGGGGTTGAAGAATTTACTGTCAGTAATGAGGGTCTGCACAACAAGGGCAGTGCTGTTTTCCCTTGTAACCTTCAAGAGGTGACCCAAAGCATGGAAATCTTCAAATTGAACTTTGAGGGCATCTCCCTTGCCCTAGGAGTTGTTGGATTTGATGATAAGGTACATGACATGCCTTCCTGTGTGTTTGTAATAAGCATTAATTCCTACACATCTTCATCTTATTTTGATGGATGTTAACTGGCTTGTAAAATGACAGTGTGACAAATTCTTCCTTTTTTTTTCACAAACTACTACTGTGACCATAAGGAACTTTAAAAGGAGAATCTTCAGCTGAACAGAAGTTAGATGAAGCTTTTTCTCATTCCACTTTGTCATTAAATGTATTAAACACCACTTTCAGTTCTGAAGAATTGTGATAACCAACCACCAAAATTCATTACTTGCTCCCCTCAAAAAAAGTTGTTCTGTGTAGAACCCAAGTGCTGTTAATACTCCCGTTACTTACAGATATTTACATGTATGTTAAATGTGTTTCCTATTGTACATTGTCTGTTGAAAGTCACCCACAAAGTCCAATTAATCAAAGGTTTCTGTTGATAATAATAATTATTGTCTTATTGCTGTTTTCAATATATTTTAGGGACAGCTGGAAGTGGAAGAAAAATGTAGTGAAATAGTTAAGCTGCTTTCCAGACTAAACTTCACAGTCCTGAGCTCATTTAACTGTGTCATTATGTGTCCTGTGCACTGGGCGCATATTGTGTCCGAAACATTTACCAAGGAAGGTGCAAGCCAGACCCAACAGGGTTTTATCTATCATAAACAACAACTGAAAAGTAGGCAAGGTGAGAGAATAGGCCATTATTAATATACATGGAATCAATTGCTGACAATACCCTAATTCTCTGTTTTCCACCGCGCACAGGTGGCTCAGTTGGTTGAGTACCGGGCTGTCGTGCGGGAGGTTGCAGGTTCGAACCCTGGCCGGACCATTACTCGGGGTCTTAAAATAACTCAGTGCTGCCTTTGTAATGACATCTGCAAATGGCTAGACTCTCTAGTCTTCTCGGATAAGGACGATAAACCGTTCGCCCGCCTCACAACCTTTCAATGTTCATAACCCTGTGGGACGTAAAAGAACCCACACACCATTTGCAAAGAGTAGGGCATGAAGTTCAAGGTGTTGTGGTCAGGCCTTATTTCATTCATTCATATGCATTGGGTTGGGTGAGATCGCTAATGGACTGATAGCGGCTTCCAGAGGCACCTGTGTATGCTGAGGTCCGGTCTCACCCATGGATCTATAACTTGTAAAGCGCATTTGAATATGCATATAGAAAATGCGCTGTACAAATTCAATACCATATTTTCAAGACCAATGTTTTCTATTTCTCACATCACAGCAAAATTGAATTAATTTTTATGTCTAACCTGGCATATGTATTACTTGTTCACATTGTAATAAATCTGTTGTTAATGCTTTGCCTATTTCTAACCTTTAGGTAGCAAAATGCAAGAGGTGGTATCCTCATTTATTGTTGGCCACTGGGCTTCATCTAGGATAGTGGGAAAGAGCCATGTCAATTATGCCACTCCTCCTCCAAACATTGTTGAGGTGACTTCTGCAAGAATAGGGGAGGAATACCCTGTTTCCTTTTTTAAGGACATAATCAGTTGGTTTTCAAAGGATGGAGACTTAATCCTAGAAGTAGGATATGGGGATGAAGTTGGTATGTAAATTTCATTTAGGGGGTGTTGCTCTGATTTTTTACACGGAATGACTTATCTTTTTAGTAGAGACAAGATATGCCTTTCAATTAAGTGTGTTACAGGCAAGTAATTTTGCATGTATATACCATATCATTTTTGTGTGATTTATGGAGTTCTTGATGAAAGGGCCTTCACTTACTTGAAGTTCTGGATCTGCCAGTGTAATGTGTCCCTAGAGCTGCAGTCTGCATGCTCTATTGCAGTCCAGATGATTATGTTTTGATATAGACTGTAATACTTGACCTACCATGCCATATTTTGTAGGTTTAAAAAGGGATTATTCATTTCTAGTCGGTGTCAAAAATGTATAAATTGACATCACTCTTGCATCTCATTTTGTTAGTTACTGTTTTAAAATTATGTGTAAATTAATTGTTGTGATGTGCATCTCTTTTACACCCCTCATGCTTTTCTCTTACAGGGAATGCTTTTACTGCCGCTCTGATGTGTGGAAGGAAGGCTACATTGACAGGCACATCATGTGACAAGCGCATTATCTGCCAAAAACTAAGTACCAGTACTCAGCTCACAACTACTCAGATAGATTAAGGCCTGGTTGTTTACAGATTTAAAGTGCATTTTAAACTATTGTAAACTATTGAAAATATCCCATGACTAAGGCTTAACGACTGGTAAGAAACAGATCTTACAAATTCATTTTAAACATTTTAAACTCAGTCCAAGTGTATTTTTCAGGCCAGTGTTGGGGTCAATACCGAGAATTTGGAGCTTAACTCATTTGTGATTGGCTAATGGGATGTGTTGGTTACAATTTTCAACCAAGAAAGGGCATTTCTAATGATTTGTTCAAGTTAGCTATCTTGCTATTCCTCTTGGACGCCTTTAAGTGAATTTTGGAAAATGTGCTTACTCTTTTATTCAAAGAGTTAATTACGGAGGCAGAAAATGTTGTACCTTTTGAGTCGTTACAGGAAATCCTATGTTCTTACCATTCGAATGAAACCGCTGCAGCAGTACAAAATGAAAATTTGGATTTTTCCAAACGTTTACATAGTGACCATTGTTGTAGTGAAAGGTAAAGAATCACAAAAATAAATCATTTTAAGACCAGCCCTTAATCTACTTGAGTACCATATGGTTTAAGAGGGCTTTATTGGTCATTTTGTTTAGTACAGTTGAAAATTCAGCTGTTGCAAACTAAATTAGATGTTTGGTATATGATGTTGTTAGTAATAAACTTCCAAATTTTAGAATTGACTTTGATTAGCACACCATTAGTATTAGTTCTTTTGCTATAAACCTAATTATACAATGCCAATGTGTAATCTGCACTCCGGCACTGCAACAAGTTAGCCAGAAACTGAAATGACTATAATTCACTTTTTTAATCCAATCTTGTTTCAAAGTGGCCAAAACCTGTGTAGTGAATTGAATAGTGAATTACATTTTGATTGTACAGAGGTTTTGCATCTGTTGTTTTGAAGTTGTTTCTACACCCTTCATTTTGCTGTACGTAAATAAGTCAATTAAGTGGAGAATAAGATTTACAGAAAGTCTGCATCTTTTGAAGCCACTAGGCTGAGATGATTTTTGCATCACACAGTTGTTGTAGAAAAAGTGTGGAATTTAGCGAAAAATAAGATTTGCAGAAATTGTGCGTCACGCAACTGTTGTAGAAAAAGTATCGAGTCTAGCGGAAAATCAAATTTGCAGAATTTCTGCATACAACGTTTTCAAGCCACTAGGCTGAGATGCAGAATTTCTGCATCACAAAGTTGTAGAAAATGTAAGAATTTAGCAGAAAATAAGATTTGCAGAATTTCTGTATCCCACTTTTTCAAGCCATTAGGCTGAGATGCAGAATTTCTGCATCACACAATTGTTGTTAGTAAAAGTATCGAATTTAGCGGAAAATGAAATTTGCAGAATTTCTGCATACAACGTTTTCAAGCCACTAGGCTGAGATGCAGAATTTCTGCATCACAAAGTTGTAGAAAATGTAAGAAGTTAGCAGAAAATAAGATTTGCAGAATTTCTGTATCCCACTTTTTCAAGCCATTAGGCTGAGATGCAGAATTTCTGCATCACACAATTGTTGTTAGTAAAAGTATCGAATTTAGCGGAGAATGAAATTTGCAGAATTTCTGCATCCAACTTTTTCCAGCCACTTGGCTGAGATGCAGAAGTTCTGCATCATACAGTTGTTGTGGAAAATGTACAGAATTTATCAGAAAGTAAGATTTACAGAATTTCTGCATCAAACTTTTTCAAGTTATGCAGAAATTCTGCATCGTTCATTTGCGTTAGATAAACTATACTGGAATTTGTCTGCAGCCTGTAGTCCTGTGGCCAAGAACACCTTTTCCTTACTGCAGCTTTTTAGCCCATTTTTTGTGTCCATGTGTTACCCGTAATTTTTGATTGTATATTTTTAGTGAAAATATAAGTGCAGAGTAATTATGATCGATTAAAACAACTGTTTGAAATTGTGATTCGGTAGTGTTAACAGTGTATCACTCCAACTTTTGATATTACTGCAGTCAAGTCTTTTAAGTTCCTCTCGGAAATCACGTTTTATGCAGAACGAAAGAGAGCTTTTATGACGGAATTTTGTATTTTGGAAAAACCCATTTTAGTTTGGAACGCGTTAAATGTTTCTGTACTCAAATGAAATTCGCTTATTCCAGCGTAATGTGCCTGTTTAAACTCAACTAAAATTTTTAATCGATGCGATGAAAACTTCACAACAAAGCTGTCTCGAACTTGGGCGTGTTTCCTAAAATATTTGCTTAAATTTAGCATCAGCTTGACCAAAAAGTCAATAAAACAATGCTAATTGATAAATTTACATTTCAAACAGACTTTCTCTTCTATAAAAAACATACAAAATGTACCTTAAATCTTCGCTCGCTCGATTTTCCTTCAGCCGATTCTAGCCGCGAGGAAAACCGTGATTAATTCATCCAGGGCAAATTTGTCCCTTGATCTTTTGTCTTTTTTCCTTCAAAACGACAGCTCAGTATTTTCTTCAACTTCCACTTTTCATCTGTGCATTTCATCTGTGTATTTTACCGTCAGGAGAGGAGATTTGTTGAATTTGCCTAAATTTTACCGCGCTAGCTTAGTTTCTTGGCGTGCACCCACGGGCAAATGGTAGTGGCTAACTGACCAATCAGAGCGCGCGGTTTGCTTTTGTTATGTTATAAAGCAAAATGGCTCGAGCTCAAGTGTCATTTCAAAAGTAAGACTGAAAATTCCGTACTGCCATTAGGCAAAATATCATTTTAGGAAAAGTTACCCCAATTAATTTAGAAAAAAACAACGACAACTTCATTTGTACCATGCATTGATTTACGTGATACAAAAAAAAATTACTATAAAACACGGAGAGGGTACAGGCTGCCAATAATAAACATCATCATCACGATTAGGTTGGTAATAGCCGGTTAGGCAGCACACCAACCACTTATAACCAAAATATGAAAGTAAAATTTACACGCATTAATAGCATAAAAATAATCAATAATAATGATGATAATAACAATAATAATAATAATAATAGTAATAAGATATTTTTGAAATTCTTCACGGGACGAAATATGAGGCATATCGACTGATTCCAGTCTCTAGCAGTTCTTGGGGAAATGAAAACTTGAACACATTTTTGTTACAGTGGGATTCAAGAAGATTATAATAAGTCGATGGCTGCCCCTACGAGTCTCATTGGTAAAATATTGCTTAGGTTATGATTATATCAGGGGTCAGGTACCATAGACCAAACACAGCTAAACAAAACATAAAAAAAGGGGGAAGAAAGGGGAAAAAACCTAGCTAAAAAAACAAAACAAAACAAAACAAAAAGACAGCAAAAGAAAGCTAAGTATGCCAGTCGCGTCCACCACCTTGTAAGTGAAGATCAATGAGGCGTTGCAAATTAACTGGCTTGGGAAGAACCTTCCCTCAATAACAAGCAAATGTTAAATGTTTCACTTGCTATATAGTTTTACGTAGCACTCTTTATCGCGTCTACGCTATTGTAGTCATGTTGTAATTTGTTATGATGATCTATTTTTTTCATCATTAGTTATTTGTTCCTATTTATTGTTCCTTTGTTAGATTTTTGTTTCATTCTACATTTATATTACACCCACTATCCTGGTCTGTGTGTACTGACAATAACTCGAGAATCGTTTTGTAGTGTGGGTCAACGTAGCAAATTATTAAACCTCATTTGATTGAACCTGAGTTAACAGTGCCACGTACATCAACCGCGACCACCCTTACACTAATTAGCTTAACGCAGCTAGCTAAAGTTCAACACTGGCGTCTGACTTTAGAAATTCGTTATACATAACATATCTTTAAATTCCAAATTGTGGCGCCCCGCTTAAGTCTGAAGCACTGCAATTTTCATTATTCAGACGGGGAGAAAAAATAGTTATATACTGTCTAAAAGTAGTTTTAACTGAGGACTATAAGCTGGTTGTTATCTGCAGTAGACTGAGCAATATATCAATAGTTTTACAGTATATACTGTTTGTGTCCTGGAAACGGATGCCTATTGTAATATGCATGGAGACATTTCAACACCTTTTTCCCCGTTTTATAATTTCTAGGTTTACTGATACTCAAAATATCAACAACCTGTTGCAAAAGATTGGCAAACTACCGCATATTCGAGGTGGAACACGAACTGACAGGGCCCTGGAACTAGCAGCAGAAGACTTCTTTGGTTGGCAGGAGACTGGGGACAGACCGGACGTACCGAACGTGTTGCTTGTGCTGACTGATGGGAACACAAATGAAGGCAGTAAACCATTTTCTCAAGTTCTAACTCCATTAGAGGTTTTTAAAATTTCTTATTACTTTTTTTGCAAACTTGCCTTCTTCTCAATGGTGGCGGTATTGTTAAAAAAAATGTCTAAAAAGTTTCACGGTCTTTCACTTGATTCTGTGAAGTCCAAAAGGAACTGGACATAATCCTTTTCCCATTCCCCCCCTCCCCCCGGTTAGCTCAATTGGATGAGCGAAGGTCTGCCCAACGGGAGGTCGCAGGCTCAAACCCAGGCCGGACCAACACTAAGGGTCTTAATTAAGATAACTGAGGAGAATGTGCTTCCTTTGCTGTGACATCTACAAATGGTTAGACATTCTTGTCTTCTCGGATAAGGACGGAAAACGTAGGCCCAGCTCTTTTACTGTTCTAATTCTTGTGGTACAAAAGGAGGGCCATTATGAAAACTACTGGGTGACCAGTAATCAATGTCTTTACCCTCGTTAAATAAAGTTATTACTTACTTACTTACTAAAAGAACCCAGACTGTTTTTCGTAAAGAGTAGGGGACGTAGACCCAGGTGATGTGGTACAATCTTTCATGGGCTGTCTGGGTAATGAAGGGTTGATACTTGGGACGCAAGTCCTGGTTCATGGACCTGTCCCCGTGTTGAGTCACCGTGGCGAATTCAATAGTAAATTCAAGCAATGTGTCTCTAGTCGTTATAGAGGTAAAGGCATTTATTGGGGTAACAAATTTAGGGCTAAGATAAAACCTAAGTGAAAAAAAAAAATATATATATATATATATATATATATATATATATATATACTTGTATTCTGGGTAGAACGTATTCCGTAGAGCGCTCAATTCATTTAATTGAAGAGCATTGACTATTAATAATCACAGGAGTTCAGGCTTCAGGAGTAATCATTGATCGTTTATTGCGACAGTGCTGTTTCGAATGGTCCGAAATTGTAGGACCACACTCATCAGGCAACTTCAACGATTGACCGTTAAAATTAAAAGCTGGCAGTAAATATAGGGATGCGTTAAGAGATAGTATCTAGGTAACAGATGGATTGTGTCTTAGTTACGTTACTCTAGAGTTCTGAAGTACATATCTGTTTCTGTGGGGGCATGAACTCGCTAGTTCGTTTCGCCTGTTTAGGTTACAAAGCTCTTTTTTACAAATGATGATAGACTTTTCATAAAGACAAAGATTACATTTTTTGCTAATGTTGCTATAGGCTTTACATTTCTTTAAAACTTTCCATTTTATCTGGAAAGGTTTGTTAGAGTCTTGTAAAGTCCAAATATATTTTGATAGTTCCTATAGCAACATTAGCAAAAAATGTAATCTTTGTGTTTATGAAAAGTTGATCATCATTTGTAAAAAAGAGCTTTGTAGCCTAAACAGGCGAAACGAACTAGCGAGTTCATGCCCCCACAGAAACAGATATGTACTTCAGAACTAGAGTAACGTAACTAAGACACAATCCATCTGTTACCTAGATACTATCTCTTAACGCATCCCTATATTTACTGCCAGCTTTTAATTTTAACGGTCAATCGTTGAAGTTGCCTGATGAGTGTGGTCCTACAATTTCGGACCATACGAAACAGCACTGTCGCAATAAACGATCAATGATTACTCCTGAAGCCTGAACTCCTGTGATATATATATATATATATATATGCATGTATATATTACTATTTTTTTCATACTACAAAAACTACTTATACCTACCTGTTCGCCATAGAGCCTTTAAAGCTCAGTGGTTAGAGCGTCTGAATTAGAACTCGGAGGGTAGTGAGTTCGATTCTCACCTGGAGCTCGTAATTTTTTCTAAGCTTTCTGGTCTTAGAATAGGTCATTTCCGAGTTCCACTGTATCAAAACAAGGGTAAAAGCTCAGCCTTTGATATGGAAATGTTTTTCATTCTCTTGCAAATAATACTCATTTTCACAAGAAAGGTTCTGCAATTGGCCTCATTCTGAAACTGAGAGTTTTTGGAACTTGGAAGTGGCCTATTATTCTTCTTCCAAGTATATTCGTTAAGATCACGGCTTAACTGACAGACGACCAATAACATTGCGACTTAATTGTGCAATCAGGTCAATAACCAGAGTTTAATACCATCAACTGACGTGAAACAACTCGCTTTGACTCTGAAAATGACTACCGCATAGGCATTGTATTCATTCATTTCAATCGTCGTTTGCATGGAACTTACTGAATTTGCTTTGCATTGGAAGGCTGCAGGAGTAAGGAGAATAGCCATTGGCATTGGAAATGAGATCAATAAAGGTGAACTTGTACAAATTGCTGGTAACCAACAGGATGTCATTCAAGTAAATTCGTACGGAGACTTAATCAAAAAACTGGAAGATATCATGAAACTGGCATGTGAGGATCAAGTTCTGGGTAGGTAAAATATTATACAACTACTACCCTTACATACCAATCCTGAGGAGGGGGTAGTGCCTTTTTTTACAGTGTGTCGGGGGTCTTTCGAGTGCATTTGACAATTCTGTCGTGAATTCAGTAAGAAAAATTATTTTCTTCCTACCAATAATCCAGTTCTACCTGCCAAGAAACACCGATAAGCCACATTTCGTCGTTGTTTTGGTATTTGTAGGTAAAGCTCATTCATTCGTCCTTAAAATGTCGTCTCTGGAAATTTTTGCGAAACGGGACGCCATATTGACCCCCGTGCTCAAACAGTGGATAGCCAGGGGTATTCTGAGTTTGATTTAAGGGAGCCAATTAAATTTCTATCCGATGTCTGGGTTTATTTGCCAGAGATCTGAGTCCGGTATTAAATAAATCATTTTTTGTTAGTTTAAAGATTACTTGTCCATTTCTCTTAGATCTTTGAGGAGACCTGGTTTTTTTTTCCTGTTAGGATCCTGCGGTGCCTGGGGTCCCTGGGGAACTTGCAGTAAGACCTGTGGATCTGGATTCAAGGTTCGCAGAAGACAATGTCCGAGAAACAGTCTACACTTAAAAGAACAAAAATTAAGCTGCAATACAAATCTGTGCCCAGGACAAGGTAAAAGATAACGAATATTTTAAAAATATCCTTATATGATAGAAGTTGTGAAGATTTATATTCTGACCTCCCTTTTTGTGTAGAATTTGGTAAATTTGGCGTATTTACATCAGACTCCTTAGGGAGCTTTAGCAACGACGACGGCGACGGCAACGAGTGACGTCAAAAAAGCAATAGATTTACTACGCAAAACAACAAGTTTGCTCGTGCATCACGCGTTTTTGTACATTTCTTTACCGTCCTTGCACGATTACAACGTGAAAATGCCTAATTGCAAGTTTCATGGAGGACGTAAACAAGCGACGACGAATCTCTTTTTCTCTCTTTAAACTTGCGTGCGGTCCTCAAGAAATCAACTCCAGGGAAATTCGCCTAACTAGCGATTTTCAGCAAATTGGAATAATCGCGACAAAGATTGAAGAAACGGGAATTCATTTTAGAACTAACGTTTTCGCTGCCGTTGCCGTCGTCGATGCTAAAGCTCCTTATTACAACGGGGAAAGGGGAGCGGGGAACGAGAACTGGGAAAGGGAAAATAAGAAAATGGGAACAAAACCTAACTTGAACGCTAGTCCTATCAGTAACTTCGTCCCAGTTCTCTGCTTTGTTCCCATTTTTCATCTTCCAGTTGCCCGTGCTCGTTCCCAGCCCCCTGTTCCCTGTTTTATTAGCATCCATCTACAAAAGGCAAGTTAAAGACAAGGTTTACTTTATTTATGCATGGTTAAAAAGAAATAGTTTAAAACGTTTAAAACCAAATTACATTTTTACTGACCATTGCTAATTTATAATATTAAAATTTTTCAGTTATTACATACAAAAAAACATGTTTTCCATGCGGCATGCCGTGCCTTTCTTGATATTGTAGTAATTGTTCAAAACGTCGACCATTTATTCGAAACGAACTGTTTGATCTCTTTAAAAACCCAATGTGTAATGTGTCGTTCCCGGGATAGTGACGTGGCTATATTGATATTCATTTCGCTGCCCTTTCAAATATATTTCCTCCTTCCGCTTAGATTCTACAGAAATTGGCCGTAAAGAACGGTTAACAATAGGTGTTTAAACAATCCTGTTTTCTCTTTTAACAACATAAAGCACCCTGCAAAGACAATCGTGCAGACTGTCCGTCTCTTGCGGCGGCCGGAAAGTGTTGGAAACAAGCTATAGGGCAAAAGTTCCATCAAACATTCACCCTGTGGAATCAATGCAAGAAAAGTTGTCGCAGATGTAACGGTAAGAAGAGAAAAAAAGTGTCGTAAAATATAGTGTTTTTAAATAATGTCTTGGACCAACAAGTAGCAGGAACAACGGCACACATAGATCACCATCCGTAACAGCCTTGGGACAGTTCTACCGTTGTGTTCAGAAGATCACCTAATACAAATGTATGATAGTCACTTTCTGGCGGGAGCTATTTACACGCAATCTCCATTCTAAACAGAGAGAACTGGAATAAGAAGAAACCTAGTAAAGCTGTATTCATACTAAACCTCAGTTCTGAATAACTACTTCCGTCCGGCAGTGGATCCCAGCCCTCGCCGATACGGATTTACTTCCGTCACGTCCGTGTACCTGTTCATAGAGTACAGTCCGGTACAGTTTTGTTTTGACGAAATAGTTCTTTTTTAAAGTGAATTAATTGTAAATAGGATTTTAATAGTTAGCATTGTTATCAATAAAATATGTTCGAACCAGTACAGTTTAACCCTCTAATCAGTTATCTTGTTACCAAGGCGTTGAATTGGCGACCACACGGTCAACCAATGCAGCGAAACCAATCTTATCTTGCGTACACCTCTTTGCTTGTTCAATAGAGACGTTTAGTAGTTTTGCAATATTTGTCCAAGGGTTCCGTTGTGTGACAATCCGATATGTGACGATCCACTTTCAAGCTCGGCGCAGTGCTGGTTCACTCCTTTACAGAATTTGCGCGGAAATCACCGTTCTTGTCTTTGAACAGAAGCCCTATGCGGTATGGTTTTCGAGTCGGGGCTCGAGCTATATTGTATAGTATGAGAATGGGCCGATCTCCACCTATTCCAAACAAAGTTTGTGATTTTTTGTGCAAACAATAGGGGTGGTGACATAACAATGCCCCTATCCTTGAAAATAATAGGTGGTGCAGGTTATAGGAACCAATGAAGTAAGAGGCTTCGATGTGTGCAGGTCAATCGGTGAACATAGCCTAAGGCTGAGCGCAGTGTGTTCAGTAAAGAGTGTTATCATAACACTCTTTGTTACCAGGGGTAATTTTTCGTTTCTTTTTGCTAGTGGATTCTAAATGCCAGGATAATGATCCATATCAATGTCCTTGGCTGGCTGCTCAAGACCGACGCTGGTGTCGACGCATGAAAAGTAAGAAACTGTGACAACTCCCAGCCGCGGGGTGGCCCAGTGGGGGAAAGGGTTAATCATTATAGACCTTTATATTCTAGTGAGACGAGGACGACCACGAGTACGACATTTTCTCGAGAATGTCGTAGTAGCGGGAACAAGTTATCAAATTTTAGAAGTTTTATCATTTTGCCACCGGAAAAGGGATAAAACTTCTCCAATAAAAATAAATAGTACAATGAAGCTTTCCAGGTTGAATATTTTTCGAGATTACGCGAAAAAACTTTAAGTTAAATCTATACAATACAATACAATAAATCTCGTACTCGCAGTCGTCCCCATCTTCAAATCTAAAGCTCTCTAATGTGTCAACGAGACCAACTCAGTGGTATCTACATTAATTTTTGTTATTTCTCTCATAATAGCCTAGAAACCATTGTAGCATCTCTCTTAATGGCACTTTACTATTTCTCGTCCCTGCTAAAGCGATGTGGTATCACTTGGCGATCGCTGAATTTTCGCAAATAAAAAAAGGGAAAATGATTGTTGATTCACAGCTTACGGCCTTTAGGTATAAATCAGACATTTTAAATGAGACATAATGTTTTAAAATCAGTTAGGAAATCGGGACTGCCAAGAAACAAGTCAATCAGAGTTTCTCGAGGCAATAACCCGGACACAAATATTGCAATACACGCCCTTACAGTCCTCTCAGCTAAGCTGCCTCCAGTTTCTTTGTGTAATCAAACTTATTCATAACAAATGACATCTGGCTCAAAATCTTTTACACAGCCAACGCTCTAAACCAACAAGAAATTCTTTTTGCAGCAGCATTAATTTATTCATCTCTATCAGATTCTTCCAGCTAGTTACTTGAGTAATATACGAGCTACAAGTTACCAAGACAAACACAGCTAATATTACTATTTCTACAGATGTATGCAAGAAAAGCTGCAACTCTTGTGGATCAAGCGGAGGTGATATGTATAACGTCTAGTGTAGCCTTAGAAAACAGCTGACGTTTCGCGACGACTTATTTTCTGACCAATCAGAACCATCTGCATTGTTCCTTTCTCAGACGTCGTTTTGTGCAGGAAACAGTGGTGGTGTCTCCAAATGTCGGGTGTTTCTTCAGGCTACGCTTAGTGCACAGCTATGCAAATGAAAATTAATTAATTTGCACGAGAATGGAGAAAAGAAAGAGGGGCCAGAGGGGCAGAACTCACTTTCTGTTCTTAACTACACACAAATAACAACTAACAACATTTCTGGTTTATTGTGCCGTCGTAGGCCGCTACTCTTAATTCCGGAGACGGAGACGGAGACGCTTAATTCTACAAGAGATACTCGGAGGCCAGGAAAAACCCGTGCAAAAAACTCGCGAGAAGGACGAGAAATCCCAAAAACGCCACGACCTTCCTAAGAGGCCGAAAAATAAGAAAAGAAAAATATAAAATTGAACTTTCACGCACAAAATTAAGCGTAACGACCGAGAATGACTCGCATACTAAACAGCCTATCAGTTACATGTAAACCAAAATACTAATTCCACTCTGCACGTATGAAACACACAATTGCTTTCAGGAATACTTGGTGTCATAATCTTTCAAAAGCATCTCACAAGTAATCAACAGCTAAAATAATAGCGACCAGAAATCAACTGCTACGCAACCGAAGAGAATTCACAATTGGGCTTTGCCAACAGATCTTATTCACGATACCTGCCATCTTTGCACTCGCTTAGGAGTGATGAGACAAAGCAAAATTAACCTGGTTTCTCACTGTCGAGTTTGTTTATTCTAGGAAACAAAAAACATAAGGAACTTTTCATCTTAAAGGCGATAATAGAAAATTATGGGTGGAAGTGATCATTATTAACTTCTTTGGATACAGTAGCGACGGCCGTAGATGCCCTCACAGCAAACAATAATGACGTAAATCTTGTCGACACTGACGAACTGAACATTTTGCATGACTATCAAATGGTCGTCTCGTTTTTCAACACTGCGTCTACCTTTGATTTAAAACAGAACGTTTCGGAATATTATTTTGTTGCAATTGAAATTTGTTGCTTGAATTGAAATTTGGCATTTTCATCAAACAAAACGTCCTAGAGGTCCTAAGACTTCGTAAGATCTGTCGCATCATCTAAACAAGTTTCTTTCTTTTTTTTTTTTTCAAAATCCTTCGCATTTAGGTGGCGGTAGCGGAGGTTGGGGTAGCTGGGGTGGCAACCACCACGGAGGAGGACACGGTGGAGGCAGCCATCACGGAGGTGGATACGGTAGCTGGGGTAACAATCACCATGGAGGAGGACATGGTGGAGGGAGCCATTACGGGGGTGGATACGGTGGAGGCAGCCACCACGGAGGTGGATACGGTAACTGGGGTAACAATCACCATGGAGGAGGACATCGTGGAGGGAGCCATCACGGAGGTGGATACGGTGGAGGCGGACACCATGGAGGTGGATATGGTAGCTGGGGACGCTGATTAGGTTTTGGTCGTTGATAATGTGAAAGAGAAAGTAAGTATACTTGTGGAAATGAAAAACGAACGATAATTTAAGGTATTTATTCGATTTTTCGGTTTGCAAAACAGGCCATCTAGGGGGGCTAAAAATGGACTAAAAGGAGCGTTCCATATACCACTTGTTTGCTTCTTCAAAACCCATATATTTACCAGTCACCATATGGCACTTTTGTTTATACTTTACTTTTAATGAACCTTTCGATCCTTGGGTTGTTGTTGTTGTTGTTTTCTGACGATCTTGTCAGTTGGCCCGAATCATCTGGGCTCATATCTCAGTCCAAGTTTAAATTCCAGTGTATCACCCGCCTAAAATCACCTGTACAGCCCACCTATAATATCAACGAAACGCCTTTGGAGTCTTGCGATACAGAGAAAGACCTTGGTGTGTGGGTGTCAAGCAATCTTACCTCGGACAAACAAGTGACTGAACAGTGTGCGAAAGCAAACAAACTCCTCGGCTTTGTGCGCCGAGGTTCTAGGTATATCCAAAGCATCCAAACGCGTCGTACACTTTACCTTTGACACCTTTCTATCGTCCGTTGCCATCTCGGCTATGCGACCCAAGTATGGTCGCCACAGTCCATTGGCTTACTAAAACGAGTTGAAAACGTGCAGCGCCGTGCAACAAAACTAATTTTGAAGCTCCCCTTCATTCTCGATGTAACCTATAAGACCCGCTTCCAACTAACAAATCTGTTACCTATCTCATACTGGCATGAATGTTTGGATATAGTCTTTTTCTATAAAGCTGTTAATAACTTAGTTTTCATAGATAGTGAAGCTCTGCCTGCAACTAGACAATCAACGAGATCTACCAGGTCATCGAGCAGCAATGCTATTACTTATATCCCTAAGCGAAGTAGAACTGTTACTTATCAACGCTCATTTTTCATACGCGTGCCGCACATGGAATGTTCTGCCCGCTGAGTTACGCACAAGTCACATATCTCTAGCCTCATTTACGTAAGCGTTTACTACTTCAATATTACAATAAGGCGTTGGATCTGTACAACGTTGACGACATCAGAACCTGGAGAACAATCTGTCCCAGGTGCAACATAGCGAGGACTCTACTGTGCCAACCGACGTGCTGCTTCTAGCAATTTGAACGTCTGTTTTGTTTCCTCTGGATTTTCTTGCTTATATATCAGTAGCTTTAGTTATTCTTTTTTTTTTTCAACGATTGTTTTTTGTTTGTTTGTTTTTTAATTAACGAGGGATCCACTGTAATTGGTTAGGCTGTAGTGGTCTCCGTGCCTAATAATTTTTATGTATTCATGTATAAAGATTGTATTGTAGTTAGGCGAAGCTAAATAAATAAATAAATCTGGAGGAAGACAGAGACCTTTTAAACTCACTTCCGATAAGTTTTTCTTGTACATAGCACTTTGTTATTCTCAATAGCCCACAAGTGAGCGCGGCATCGACAAAGCCGAAAATAAAGACGGGGGACGGCTTTTTTTTTTTTTAAGGCAAAGCATATGCTTCCAACTTCTAATTTAAAAAAATGTTGTACTTTTTATCCACAGGTTTGGCACCAATCTATGAAAATCAGTATTCTCCAAACAGAATTGAGAAAGAGCATTTGTTGGAATGAGATGATCAAAATAAACTTAATATAAAACGTAATCTTCTCAGTGCACCTTTATTTGTCATTATATATTTTGGTCAACGCAAATGTTAAACTAATTTATGACTAAAATAAGACGAAAGTTAGCGACCTGACTATTTACATCCTTGGTGACGGTAATGTTAGGACAAGGTGGGGCCCTCTTGACAGTAATAAGGTTTAAAATTTCACCTATCCTCATCTTAACCACCCATTATATCCCATTAGACCCGACCTATCCAATCGAACAAAACCGAACAAAAAACCAATCGAACCCAATCGAACTCCAATCGTTCGATTGGGTTGGGCAATCGAACAAAATCGAACACCTATTTTGCTGTGAGTTCGATTTTCGAACCAATCGAACCAATATAATCGAACAAAATCGAACAAAATCGAACTAATTGAATGCTCTTCCCTTAGAGCCAATCTTCTTAAAGATAAAGAATTCTTCTCCCACATCAACAATAAAATTACATTCTTGGTAACCTTTTACACTGCATGTAATTTCAATACATGCAGTGTCCTCCCTCTCCTCCGTGTTTGACATTTCAGACATTTCAGTCCTGGGTTTCAGTGCTCAGCAAAAGCCGCGTAAAAAGGGAAGGGAGTTAGCGGTGATTTCACTTTCACCTTCGGAATTTTCCAATACCACGCCATGCGATGCGGCGTCCGTTAATCGAACGTCCGATTATACCAATCGTTCGGTAATCGAACGTTCGATTGGGTTCGATTACCAATCGTTCGGTAATCGGACGTTCGATTGTGTTCGATTGGCAAAATTTTATTGTGAATTCGATTATGTTCGATTGAGTTCAGCAATCGAACGATTGGTGTTCGATTGGGTTCGATTGCCGAACTGTTCGATTGGATAGGTCGGGATTAGAGCCGCGA